CTAGTTGTTAACGTACCTAACTTTTTTATTATCCAACACAAGCAAATGAATCAAAAAAGAAAATGTTAAGAAAGCCTGAGATTATAATTGAGCTTTAATTTTAATATTTTATATATGCTAGAATATTCCACAGGGTGTTTCGAACTTTAAGGAAAAAACACAGTATGATTGTTACACCCGGTATAAAATGACATTGACCTGTCTAGCAACAATATTATTTCATTGATATTCTTAAATAATATACCTATAACATACTAAAAAAATCACTAAAATCGGACAACAGGTTTAGGAAGTTCGAGTCATCTAACATGTCCCATTTTTAAGGCGTTAATTTTGCCGGTGAGTGTAGTTTAACAATAGTTCGGCGGATATAGAATCATTAAAAACATGATTCATACAACAATGGGCCAAGGAAGATATATACAACTGTAACTTAATTTAAAATAAGTTTATCCGACTCATTCAATTCAGACATAATTATACATTTTAAAGTAGAAGACTTTTTGGGTTGCGTTCCTGGGACGACTTAATTAGATGATAGTTCATTTGATTACATGAATTATCCTTAACTTAAGAATACCCATCAAAAAAATTATAGCATGTAATTTTTTTATGCAATGATGATAGTAAAATTCTCTTGTTAGTGATCCCATAGTAAATCACGAGGAAAAACCTAGTGATCCTGTCCCATCACGGTAAGTATTTGGTCTTAATTCTCAATATTAACATCCAAGCTTTGATTTAATATGTATTTTATTTTAAAATATAAATGGTGTATCCTCGATATGTTGACTTACTAATAGTGGTACTTTCTTTCTATCCACTTCCTCTTTTAATACGTATAACCAGATCCTACTACATTCTGCTAAGAAATTTGCGACGCAATTGGTTTTATTGGACATAATTAGAGCCACTTCTTTGATTTCTCTCATTTTACCATCTGTTTCTTTCAGAATTATACTTGAATCTTTGCATTGAACTCTATATTCATTTTCCCACGCGTGTTTACATATTTGAGATCTATCAAATTCTCTATTTTTGATAAGATTGATGTTCACTTATTCTATTATTAAATATTCTTAATGTTTCACCTAAATAAATGTTCGCATTCAGAAGGTGTTCTATAAATACAATTCTTTGTTCCTTTTTGTTCAATGTTAGGTGTAGTTTTAGATAAAATAGATCTCAATGTGTTTGTTGTTTTAAACGTTTTTGAATTTATTTCCTTTCGTTTTAAGTTTTTAGGATAATCCTTTTAAGTATGGTATTGTTATTTTCCTCGTATTATTTCTTGTGAATGTTATCTTCCGTGCCGGTGAAATGTTTCATTTATAAAATTCTAAATAATTTCGCCCCTGCTTACTTTTGTGAGTTTATTACACGGAATTGTGCTATTCACAATACTCGAGGTAAGTGCAATTTACACATTGTGAAAACAAAAAGGACTGCTTCAAGAAACTCTTTGTTGTTTCCCTTTAAGGGTTTTGATCTTTTTAATAAGCTTCATCAAACAGTTAAAAGTTGTTCAGCTATACAAATGTTTGAAAGCAAATTAATGGACCATATTAAAATCACCAATAGTTAAGTAGTTGTTTTATCATGTTTTAATAAAATGTAGATACTATATTTTAAGTGTAATTGTTATTTTTATCTTATGTATGTTAAAAATTGATTGATTTTGTATGTATTAGGGCTTTCCCTATTTTTGAATAAATAAACTTCTTATTCTTTATCAAAAAATGGCAGACTGCCATTCTGCAGTGCCTACTATGGAGGTGTTATAAATTTTAAACGACCCATCCGTTAACCCCAAATTTGGAAAATTGCGGACGTTCAAGTAACCATTGGATGTCTACCGTGCGACGAAGGCAACGGCAGGTCCATTGGTGACTGAATCGACCTTTGTGACTGCACTGGACTGAACAGATCAGCTTGGCAATACCAAACGATCGATGTTCAGCTGTGCCATCACTGACACGCACCTCCGAGAGCCGGTCCTGGACGGCTCGTATATGTATGAATCTTAGTGAAAACAGTGGCGACGGTTTATAAGCGTCGTCGCTATTCATCCGCTCTCGGCTAAATCTAGGCGTCACAACTGATCCTGTGGTATTTCCCAGCCTTTTTGTTTTTTATTTCTAATTAAAAAGACAAAAGCGACAAAATTTATGTTCAATTGTATTTAAAAATAAAAATAACTACATAGACCTACCAGTCTTGTAGAATATCAAGACAAAAATAATAACACCGGCAATACACCGTTAGAAAGAGTGGAAAAAATATGCTATTTGGGCTGCAATATTAGGGATACTTGGGATCACAGCTACGAATTAAAAATTCGTATTGAAAAAGCCAGAAGCTTTTTCAACAGCCTTAGGAAGATTCTCTGCAACTTATCTTTCTTTTTCTTTCAGTACCCTGTCTGATTATTGAACGTTGGCGATCACATTGACAATAATAACTTTGTTTACGGCGGCTCTAAATAAATTAACGGTGGTCTCTTGATATCATTCTCGGAGCCAGGATGTTCTTCGTCGGCCTGGGTCTTATAAGGTGTAGAAGATTATACCTCTCTGGATGTCTCATTATATGATCGAAATATTTTAACTTTCGAATTTTTATCGTTTTTATTATTTCTGTGCTCTTTTTCATTCGATGTAAAATTATTTCATTTCTTACTCGATCAACCTAACTTATCCGCAATACTCTTTGATAAATCCACGTCTCAAAGGCCTCTATTTTTTTCATTAATGTCTCTCTAAGGGTTCAGCTCTATATATGATACCTACAGCAACGTGGAGAATATGTCATCATCATCCAGCACCATTTTCACATCCATTGTTGGATATAGGCCTCCTCCAAACGTCTCCAGTTCTCTCTATTTTTAGCTGCTGCAATCCAGTTTGTTTCTATTCTCCTTAGGTCGTCGGTCCATCGATCGGGTGGGTGGTCTGCCTCGACTTCGCTTGTCGGCTCTTGGTCTCCACTCCAATAATCTCTTCGTCCATCTTCCATTCTACGAACATGTCCAGCCCACCTCCCCTTTTGTTTATGTATGTACAAAACAAAAGGAGAATATGTAGCAGCATATTAATCTGATTTTAAGGTTTAACGTAATATCTCTATTAATTAGAATTTTCTTTAATTTATAGAAAGCGTCTCTGGCTTTTTCAATGCGTATTCTTATTTCTTTATTTATATCCCAGTTATCGTTTGCATCCAAGTAGGTAATATTGTGGACTCTTTCTAACTATATTCCATACGCTCTGATGTTCGTTGGTTGTAACTCCGTTTTGCTGACAATCATAAGTTTTGTCTTAGAAGTATTAAGTTTTAGCCCAGATTAATCACATGCTTCGGTTACCCTGTTTATAAGTTGTTGCAGGTCTTCTTCATTGGAGATCTATCCTGAGATTGTTTATCAATATTGTATTATCAATATCTGAGATTGTTGACAATAATTTCGTTGATTTTAATTCCTGTATCTTCAACTAAGGCTTCTTTGAAAATAAATTCTGAGTAGATATTAAAAAGTAGAGGCGATAGAATACATCCTTACCTCACTCCACATCGTATTTCCACTGCTTCCGTTGTGTTGTTCCTACATCTTTGAACCATGACCTGCAAACTGAAGAGTGCTTCTCTAGTTCCAAGTTTCTTCTCTAGTTCAGCTTGTTGTTGAAACCAAATTGTGTTTCACTTAGTTGTACTTCTATTTTGTTGTAAATTCTCGAGTGCAGTATTCTTAGGAATATTTTCAGTACATGACTCTTCAGACTGATAGTGCAATGATCGCTACACTGTTTGGTATTTATTTTTTTCGGTATCATTACAAATGTTGAAAGTAGCCAGTCTGTTGATATATGTCCTGTTTCACACATTTTATTAAAGAGGCTTAGAATTTCATCTGGTCCGGTTGCTTTCCTATTCTTTGATAGCTTTATAGATCTTTCCATTTCATCGAGTGTTATGTTTGAACCAGTCGATATATTTTTAATTTGAATTTCTGTTCTATTGTCATTAAACAGCTCCTTGATATATTCTTTCCACCTATCTAATCTGTCTTGTTCATTGACTATATTTCCTTGTTTATCAAGTAAACTACTTGCAGTTGATCTATATGTTCGTTATTTCTTTCACCTTTTTGTACATATTAAATGTGTCATTCTTTTTCTGCAGTTCTTCTATTTCAAGACATTTGTTGCTGTACCATTTTTCCTATTCATCCCGGATTTTCCTTATAGTACAGTATCAATATATGAACAAGAATTCTTAGATGTTACATCTTTAGTGTACTTTTCTAGGGAGTAGAAAGCTGGTACCTTACAAAAGATGCCATAAAACGATTGGAGGCATTTGAAATGTGGTGCTACCGACGTATGTTGAGGATTTCATATATTCACTACACAAGTAACATAACTATTCTCCAGAGGCTAAGAAAAGACAAAGAAATTATTAATACCATACATAACAGTAAATTAGCTTACTTAGACCAAATCATGCGTAATCATAAATACTGACTTCTACAGGGCAAGAGAGGCTCTGTGAATAGAATAAGATGGGTCAATGTGGTCGCCAACATCTCTAGGAGATAGGCACATTTAGAAGAATGTTATAAGATCTCATTCTAATGTTCTGTTTGATAGTTAACAAACTTGGTTTGAGCACCACCTAGTTTTTTTATATATGCAATATCTGTGTGTGTTTGAGCATTATTAGCTTAGGAGTCAATGTCCATTCACCATCTTAACATATATGTAAATAGAGTAAACGACAATTTTTATTAAAAATACATTACATTTGACTTAAAATATTTAATGGAGTAATTGATCTTTTACTGTGAATAACTCTAAATTTGGATCATGTTTTTATTGGCATACTTTCTTCCACTTGCAGAAAATTCTTTAAAAATTCATCTTAAATGCCTTAAACAATTAAGATCAGAGGAGTTACTATCAGTTTTTCCCTCAAATACACATTCTCTGAAAATAAAACAATGGTAGTTTTGACATTTTATTATTGCAAATATTATAAATATAAGAGTTGTTACATGTGAATGTTATAAATGTTTAGCATTATGTATAGGTCCATTAAAAGTTAAGTAGCAACCTTTCAGAGGTTAAGAAAATACATAACGCAATGATAAATTATAACAAGCAGAAAAATACAGATTCAAATTTTAAATACTTCGATTTTATCCCTTTAAGCTGCTCATTCCAGCCCTCATAATTTCATCAACCAATAAGAGGTTGCTGGCAATGACCGAGCAGGAATTGATTATTTGTTTTTTAACAATATAGTTGTCATAGATGCCAGCATCTTTAGGATTGATCGGTTCTCCAGAGGTTAAATCTAAACCAATTGGGTCTGGATTCAAACGGGATTCTTCTTGTAGTTTTACAATTGTGTCCTAAAAATGTAAATCCAAAATTATTTTATGATTTTGCCTAGTTAATAAAACTATAACTAAAATAAAAAACATAATATATTTTAATATAGAAATAGAAAACTAGTGAAATCAACTAATCACAGGAGTATTAATGGATCTGACTGAGAGTTTAGCACAAAAAATGCTTTATAAATTACTGACCTGTGCATCAAATCCAGAGTTAACAGCCAAAGTCTTAGGTAGTACCAGTAAAGCTTCTGCATAAGCAGCAACTCCTAGACGAGCTTTACCTTTAACAGTGTCTTTAAATGCTAGCAATTCTTTATTGGCTGTAACTTCAAATGCACCAGCACCTAAAATACATACAAAGTATATCAAATCATGTTTTAAATAGTATTTAAGATTCATTTAAAGAAGGGTTTCCAAACATACTACTTAAAACACCTATAAATGTATTCATTTAAAAATTGATATGACTACAAAACAAGAGACAATGATGAACAATGCATATGTCGAAAGTTTAAACTGACAGGTGTGTGTAGTAGGTGTCCTTTAGATTTAAGTGTCAACTACATCTGTACACAATTTAGCCTAACAGTGTGATCTGCCCATATAATAAATATATTTTTATACTTATTTTTAGTATGCCAAAAATATAAACATTCTAATAGGGTACATATTTATCTTAAAATTTCATGTAGAACTAGATAAAAATGTTATGGAATCTTTTATTTTATTAAATACATAAATATTTTAATACACGAGACAATGAATGTTAATCACAGATTTTATTTGAGTGGTTTAAGTATTGCATACATGACTGGATAAAAAATGTTTTTTGTTACCTGGAATAACTGCTTTGTCATCAATGGCATTATTGATAGCCCTTAATCCATCTCTAACAGCATCTTTAATCTGAGTCAAAGTATGTTTATTGGGTCCTTTCATTAAAATGGTAACCGATTGAGGAATTTTGCAATCTTCCACAAATGTATACTTATTTTCTCCCAACACATGTTCGTAAACATGTCCAGCTCTACCAAGTTGAGATTCTTGCAGATCATCAAAACTGTTCATAGCTACTCCACCACAAGCCAATGATAGACGTTCCATGTTACGTCTCTTAGCTCTTCTAAGAGCTATGATTCCTTCTTTGGCAAGCATATCCAGGCTCATGGGGTCAATACCTACAATGTTATTAAAATTAAATCTGTTTTTTCAAATTATGCACCTGATTTCATAGAAACAAACAACAGAAGCAAGTAGAGTTAAATTAGAACAGTAAAATCACTGTTTCATCACATGAGACAGACTGTTTGCCCGATCAGGTTAAGCTACATTGGTAGCTGTTTGCTCCTTCAGGAATAGTGCTGTTTGCACTAGAAAGTTTCCTACTTTCATTCTTTTGATGTGAGGATTAATTATTCTGATTTCTTTATTTATGAGGTTCTATTTTCTTCATATTCCACTATCCTCAGATAAAACGATCCTAGGGAACAGGAACAGTTAATTTTTTGAGAATGCATTTAACATTCTCTATTATATAATGTTTTGTATGTTAAAAAATATATTTCTTCTACATAAATATTGATTAAAATTCAAGTTTTACCTTTTTGGTTAATAACGACAAAAGTCTTATCAGTTCCATTACAGAGTGACCTTTTCAATTCAATGACTTTCTTAACTCTCTGTTCAATGAATTCACGCTCAGCAGTCACTAATTTCTCCCTCTCTTCTGCAGTTTTGTAGAAGAATCCTGAATTGACTTCACTTTTTTCATACTCCATGCTGACATTACATGTTAAAATGTAGCAGTTGTTGAGACTTTTAGGCATATCTGGATGACGGGAGCCATGGTCTAGGACCAAACCTAAAAAATACTAATATTATAAGGTATTGCTATAAAGCAGTAAATTGAGCAAAATGCAGTAATGTGAAAGTAAATGCAAAATGCAATTAATGAATGTAAAATTAGCTATTTGAAACTATTAAAACCTTGCTTAATAATTCTCAAATTTCTAATATTAGTGACCAGAAATTTATTATAAATAAGATTTCAAAGTTGCTCAGGATAGTGTAAGTTTCATGGATATTGTTGTATACTCTACTCCTAGAATCTTTCCAGTTTTCAATGCCTGGAAACTATATAAGAGCACAAATGAAAATGACAAAATAGATTTGCTACTACTTCAAAGAAACATTGTCCACCAATAATACAGAGCTTACAACAAAGCCATACAAAGACAATCCACATCTATCAAACCATCTGGTTTGTTGCCAAAGAGTATACTGGTTACTCCTGATGACCATTTTAGAACCACGAACCCTTGAAGAAGTTGCTAATGCAACATGAGAGTTAGATGGATGTGTGAAAAATGCAATGTACCTCTTTGCACTGAGCAGAAAGTGTTTAAAAATATTTCACTCATAATTATGTTTAATTTTTTAATATTGTTCTGAAGCTATTTTCTTGTGGCATTGTAAATTAATTACTATTTATAACTGGGAATAAGCCACAATTAAAGATAAAAAAATACGTTTATTGACGTTTCAATTTCCAATTCGGAAATCGTTCTCAAAATACAAACAGTAAATTAAACAAATTTTGTTTTTTGTTACATAGTGAAAAAATTCTTCTAATAATTTAATTTTATCTGACTCATTTATATTGACAATTCAGACATACATTATGCATTTTAAAGTAGACGACTTTAAAATGATATTGCCAATATTGTTGAGTTGCGCTCCTGGGACGACTTTACTATAAGATAGTTCATTCGATTACATGAAATCAACTTTAACTTGAGAATATCCGTCAGAAAAAATCATAGCATGTAATTCGTCTTTAAAAAGACAAACACATGACATGATGACAGTAAAATTCTCCCGTTAGTGATTCCATAGTAAATTATGAGGGAAAAACCAGGAAAAAAACCTCATAATACTATCCCGACATTGTAAGTATTTGTTCGTGAATTTAGTTTACCTTCAACAAACATCAAAATTCTGATTTTATATGTTACGTTATTTAAAAAACATAAATGATGTATCCTCTATATGTTACTGACTTACTAATACTGGTATTTTCTTATTAATAACTTCCTCTTTCAATATTGGTAACCAGATCCTACTACATTCTGCCCGAGGAATTTGCGACACAATTGGCCTCATTTAGCATAATTAGAGCCGCTTCTTTGATTTTTCTTTTTTTACCATCCGTTTCTTTTAGGACTATATTTGAATTATTCCATTGAACCCTATGTTCATTATCCCATGCATTATTTGTAGTGAACTATCAAAATTTTTATTAAATATTTTAAAACCTTATACAAATAAAAATGACACATTCATAAAAAATACACAACATTTTTTAAATAAATTATCAAATATTGAATTTAATTCAAATAATACTTTGGTAAGTTTTGACATAAATAGTTTATTTACGAATGTGCCATTAAATAAGACTTTAAGTATAGTCAAGAGAAAATTAGAGAGTGATGATTCATTTTCAACTAGAACAAGACTAAACATATCGGCTATAATGGAGTTATTAACATTATGTACTGATAATACATACTTTCAACTAAATAATGAATTCTATAAACAAAATTTTGGTCTAGCAATGGGCTCTAGTTTATCTCCATTCTTAGCCGATATATTTATGGAACATTTTGAAACAAATATCATTTCTAAACAAAATTTCAAACCCACAGTATGGTGGAGGTATGTAGATGATGTATTCTCAATATGGCCTCATGGATCAGAGTTGTTGGACACATTCCTAAATGATATAAACGATAAAGAAGAGACAATAACATTTACCATGGAAAAGGAATATAATAACACGCTACCTTTCCTGGATGTTTTAATCTCTAAGAACGATACTGGATATGAGACTCAGGTGTATAGAAAACCAACACACACCAATAGATATTTAAATTTCAAATCAAATCATAATATTAATGTAAAAAAGGGAATAATTAAATCCTTATACGATAGAGCCAAAATTACTTGCTCTAACGAAAATTCGTTCTTGGAGGAGAAACATTTGTTAACATCTGTTTTATTAAAAAATGATTATCCTTTATCGTTTATAAATAAGGAATTTTCAACAATCGATCGAATAGAACAGAACAACTTAGAACGAGATCCTACAGCATACACAAGGAATAATATGAGGAAAGTAACAATACCGTACATAAAAGGATTATCAGAAAAACTTAAAAGGATAGGAAATAAATTCAACATTTCAACAACATTCAAAACAACAAACACGTTGAGATCTATTTTGTCCAAAACCAAACCTAACAATGAACAAGAAAGGACAAAGAATTGCATTTATAAAATACCTTGTGAATGCGATCAGTTTTTATTTAGGTGAATCATCAAGGCCATTAAATGTTAGAATAAGTGAACATCAATCTTATATTAAAAATAGAGAATTTGATAGATCTCAAATATGTAAACACGCATGGGATAATGAACATAGGGTTCAATGGAATAATTCAAATATAGTCCTAAAAGAAACGGATGGTAAAAAAAGAAAAATCAAAGAAGCGGCTCTAATTATGCTAAATGAGGCCAATTGTGTCGCAAATTCCTCGGCAGAATGTAGTAGGATCTGGTTACCAATATTGAAAGAGGAAGTTATTAATAAGAAAATACCAGTATTAGTAAGTCAGTAACATATAGAGGATACATCATTTATGTTTTTTAAATAACGTAACATATAAAATCAGAATTTTGATGTTTGTTGAAGGTAAACTAAATTCACGAACAAATACTTACAATGTCGGGATAGTATTATGAGGTTTTTTTCCTGGTTTTTCCCTCATAATTTACTATGGAATCACTAACGGGAGAATTTTACTGTCATCATGTCATGTGTTTGTCTTTTTAAAGACGAATTACATGCTATGATTTTTTCTGACGGATATTCTCAAGTTAAAGTTGATTTCATGTAATCGAATGAACTATCTTATAAGTAAAGTCGTCCCAGGAGCGCAACTCAACAATATTGGCAATATCATTTTAAAGTCGTCTACTTTAAAATGCATAATGTATGTCTGAATTGTCAATATAAATGAGTCAGATAAAATTAAATTATTAGAAGAATTTTTTCACTATGTAACAAAAAACAAAATTTGTTTAATTTACTGTTTGTATTTTGAGAACGATTTCCGAATTGGAAATTGAAACGTCAATAAACGTATTTTTTATCTTTAATTGTGGCTTATTCCCAGTTATAAATAGTATTTAATTTTTTAGTTTAATTAAGTTTTTTTATATGTATGTATGAATTTTTATTAAATTGCACCCTTAGTGCAAGACTGCAATAACTCAACATTTTATAAAAATGAAGTAATCATGGCATTTGATTGTAAACATGCATATATATCCCCTGTAAAACTTTAGTAACTTTCAAATGATTAACTGGCTAAATATTACAACAACAGTTTAACTATTTTGTGTTTTTGTACATAAGTTCTGTGCAAAACTGTTGTAATTGTAATATAACAGAGTTACAACAGTTTTGCATGGAACATTGCAATGGTTTCGATAACAAGCAATGAAAGGCACGAAAAAAGTAAGATATTTGTTATTTTAATATCTATATCTAAGGAGTTTAATTTTAATAGACAGCGTGTCTAAGTTTTATGTCCTTTGTGTGACATTATATTTTCAATAAAATGTGTGCGATGTCGTTTGACCATTTATTTCGACCAGTACCAGAACCAATATCGACAGGTTAAAAATTTCTATTCTCAGAAAACTTGTTCTATAAAAACTAAATCCCGAATTGTATTAAATCTTCTTGTAACTTTCTGAGGCGATTGTCTTATCATATTGTCCCCCCATAATTCCCAACTTTTACTAAGGTAGTAAATTTCAATTCTTTTGTTAATCACTGTACTCAAGGTAGCCTGATTTGCTATTTTTATTATAGTCCTTTTGTTTTGAATTTAAATAAAAATATTGAAAGTTTTACAAATAATTTTTCTACCTTGTTATGACATTGTCATTACAAAGCGAAGGAATTGTGGCAGAATCAGAAACATGTGCAGAGAGATAGAAAGATTAAATTACCACTAAGATAAACCGTTTTATTAGGTACCTATTTATTCTAGGTAGCTATCTGATTTCTTGGAATCTATTAAATGTAAAGTTTAATACCATACTGAACTCCAATTGCTCTTGAGGATTATTTCTTCTTTACTTACCTGATGATTTATTGAAATTTATTAAACATACATACCAAACCCCAGGAATTACTTTCCCTTTATCTACCAGGTGATTTCTGGCAATCCATTAAAAGAAAATGTAAAGTGGACAGATATAGAAATTCTACAATGTAGAAAAGACAGTCCACACACAATTTTCTTTAAGTACAACTATGATAATGAACTATGAAATTCTTTTAATCTAAAAAAATCATCACGAACTACACATAATATACAAGAATTGCTACTTGAACCTGCCTACAAATAATAGCCAAAAAGAAAGATTTGGTATACTTATGCCATTCGGGTATGATACCAGAACCCCACTTTTACAATTTTCTCCATGCAAAAGTGTTGTAACTTTAAAATTCCTAATTTTTTAGCATTAATATTATTTTATTTAAATTTCTATTTTTGGTTAATGTAGTATAGGCTGAAAAGCATGCAAAATCATAATTAAATGTTAATTTTTCTTAAAACTTGTGTCTTATGTTTATATTAGTATGAAAATAAACAAAATTGTCTTATCTCGAAACTTACTCATTCAGACTTACTGCAGTTTTACACTGAGGGTGCGAAATGTTTTCTTGGTCTGTATGCATTTTTATGTTAAATATTGCTTTTGTTTTATACATTTTATACTGATTGTCACAGTGTACTTGATTGGGTATACTTTTTTTTCAAAAACAAAATTTATAAAATGTAAAAAATATTTTTTGATACAATTATAATTATAATTAAATGCAACTACTAAAGGATTTAGGTATTTTCAGTTTCTCTATTGCAGTGAGCATTAATGAGTTAATTGGTAAAATTTTAACTACAATATTTTAATAAACCTTGTTCCCTATATTTGATGAGGTGAGAAATGAGTATCAAATTGGAGACAATTTTTGAAGTTTCTTTACTAACATACCCTTAATTAACTGAGTATCAGTTTCTGTTTTGTGTTGCATTTCCATTAATTCAACCATATGAAGATCAACAGGTTTATCATCTTTCTTTATAGCTAGAACAGCATCCACACAAACATCTGTCAAAACATCAGCAAGTTTTTGATGTAGCTAAAATTTTTAAAATAAGTACATATAACACTAAATTAGAAAGATATTTTTACCTTTGTTCTTAAACTTGTCCTGCAAATATCTGTCAAAGTTTCTTTGTTTGCATCAATTGGAATCTTCATCTTATCCAGCAGTTCCAAAGCTTTTGCCCTAGCCTTATCAAAGCCTTCTGTTAACAATCTAGGATGAAGACCTTCAGCTATGAAAATATCTGCTTGTTTTAATAGTTCACCTATGACTAAAACTGTAGATGTTGTGCCATCGCCAGTCATATCATCTTGGGCAGTTGAGGCTCGAGCAATAAGGGAGGCAGTGGGGTGTTGAATTTGCATTTCGTGCAATAGAACATTTCCATCTTTGGTTATTTTTATATCGCCGGCACCAGATACCAACCTATAAGTAGTGTTCATTATTAATACTTGATAATGTTAAAACAGATAATTTATACTTTCAGGTTTATTTATATTTAGTTATTATACTCCAAATATCAAAAATAACAGTAAAATACTAGTTCTTTCAGTCATGTGTTACTTACATTTTTACCGTTCCTTTGGGACCTAGGTTTGATTTCATTACATCTTGAATACCTTTTGCAGCTGATATATTAACGGCTAGGGCTTGTGCAGCTCTAGCAACTTCAGCTTTGGGATTTAACAAACTAATAGCCATTATTTAAAATAATACTTTTTCAACTAGAAAACTCGTGTTAAGCCAGAGCCCACAATTTTTGACAAAAGAAGCTTTCAAGTGTCATTTGTCAAAAATGTGAATCATTTAAGGCTATGGCAGAGAACAGTTCGTAGTTCTCTGGCATGATAAAAAATGTATTTGATAAAATTTAAGATCTTTAAAAGTTCATAACTATATAGCCGTTTAATTCCAACTAAAATTAAAATTTGGTTATTAGTTATTTTAAAAATAAATTATATCACATTTTCCTGTTTCGTTTCCCAACATAATATATTTTTTCCGACAGATCTTACATACACATCGCCACATCATTGCTGTATCCATTAAGATTGCTGTAAGTTTTCATATTTATTTAACTGAATTTAATACTTGAAGTAATGACAGAATTTTTTGAATACCATATTTGGCTTTTCCTTGGCTAAATATGCAATATATTCGCTATTGCGTTCTTAAAACTTAAAGAAGAACATCTTGAACGCCCTCTATTTTTTGATAGATTCGCGGTTTTCCGTTACTTCATTGACTTTACAATTTACAAAAGTTCGTTGAGATAATTATATCACATCATCTAATATTTTGATTTCTTATTTGTAAGTATTCTTTTACAAAATTTATAGTAGAATAACTAAAACAATGGTGCACAAGATTAAAATTGTGAATCACTTAAAATTATTGTTTATCCATATTCAACTTATTACTTAGTGCTTCTGAAGTTTTCAGGTGAGGTGAAGAAAGATGTCCACATCTAAGCCCAATATAACAGTACACGATTTTCTGAAAATCGAGAAAATAGGAGAAGGTACATATGGAGTCGTGTATAAAGGCAAAAACAAGAAGACTGGACAACTGGTAGCCATGAAAAGAATAAGGTAAAACGTTTTTTATAGTTACTGTTCACACTGATCCTTATATTATTCTCGAATGTTAATAGATTAGAAGCAGAAGATGAAGGTGTTCCGTCAACGGCAATCAGAGAAATTTCTCTCTTAAAAGAACTGAGACATCCCAATGTTGTTTCCCTTGAAGATGTGATGATGGAAGAAAATAGGTAAGAAATGTTCAGTGATACACAGACAACAATCATTTTTTAGTACAATATAAATAATTAATGAATTATTAAGTAATATAAATATCACCCAGTCAAAAAATATCCAGTGATTTTTCATCAATTTATAAATAATGCTATTTTTGTAGTATCCTAGCTGAAATGTGGTGTTAAATGATTTTCTAGTTAACTTCAGTCTTAATACTATTTTATAAATAAAAAAATCTAGTTACAGTTTATTGTGTAATACTCTAGTTAAATTTGTTATAAAAATCAACTCCCTGATATTTATATTAGTTCTTTCTCCATTTATTAATTTAGGTTAGGTGTTTTTTACTACACTTGAAAATATTAAAGAAAATATGCGTTAAAAAATATTGAAGGAAGTACATTTATCATTATTTAGCTATCATAGCATAATGTGTGCTATGTTGTAGAGAGAGGAATGAAATAAGTCAGAACTATGGAGATGAACTATGTGGAAACACATCTAACATAACTAAAAACAAGATAATAAGACATAATACTGTTTATATACAATAATATAATTCATCATCATCATTAGCTTGCCAATCATCTGTGAATCTTATAGACTAATAGTTCATTCTAAGATATAATTATAATTCAAGTTACAATAACATATTGGTTAATACAGTTATTTACATAAGGAGTACTTTAATTAAATGTACTGAAATAAGTAATTAAGTAGAAAAAAATAAATACCTGTATAGTCATACTAGATAATGATAATTTTGATATTGAAATCAATGATGTGTACAAGTGTCATGATTTACCAAAATTATAACTTTGTGTAGATTTTAATGTGTATAGTTGAAGAAATAAAACAAATCACTTGCTTCACTAGCACATACACCACATTGGGTGGACACAAGTACCCCTTGCTGATGCTATGACAAAATCTTGTGAAGTGCTCAGGAGTGCCAAAGCTATATTTTCTTTATTTATTATCATAGAGCAATTTTACAAATACCATTTCTTGTGGGATAACCAACATATTGTTACATTGAAACTTACCACCTAAGCTGGTGGACATCACAGTTTTTTCTGAAAATTTGAACTCAATGTCCATCCAAGTGGGTGGACAAAAATATAACTGATTAAAACATATTTACTTATTGGGATTATGAACATTTTAAAAACACTCAAAACATTCTTCTCTTCATCTTCAGTGCCTTATCCTGTCCTGATGTTGGCGATCATCAAGGTTATTGTGATTTTGTTGACTGCTCTGTGAAACAGCTCAATGGAGGTCATTCCAAACCACTGTCAGATATTTTTTAACCACGAGATATGGTGGCATCCCGTTCCTTTCCTGCTAATACTTTACCTTGCACAAAGAGTTGAAAAATTTGATATTTTTCTTCGTTCTGCATCACTTGCCTGAGGTACTCAAGCTTACTTTGTTTCACTAAATTAAGCACTTCTTTTTCCTTTCTCATGCGCTGTGCGACCTCAACATTGGTGACATGGTCAACATACGATATTTTTAGTATCCGTCTGTAGATGCGCAAAACATAAAAATGTTTTATCTGGGCATGTATTGCAAAAAGTGTTGACTTGTGTTTTGGTATTTTACTTGTAATAAATATAGTAGTGTTCGAATATTGCATAATCTGTCCCTTTCAATACCCTCCCTAAAAATGCCAAAATATTAACATAATCTAAAATCAATTTCTAGTCAAAATACATTTCATTTTTATAATATATCCTAATATTTGAAAAATATGTTTGGTTGCATGGTATAAGTACCAGATGCTTCTATATTCTAAGAACCAAAAATATTGTTAGTTATATCTAAGACCAAAATATTGTAGCCAGTCTCTTCTACCCCTGCTTTTAATTGTGAATATATTTCTGCCACCTCTTCTGTTCTGCGAGACATTATGCTAATGTCATCAGCATAGGTGGCAATCTGCATTGATTTATTGATTCATTTTTTAGGATATTATTTCTTTATATTCAGCTGTCTTATCACATATTCAAAAGTCAGGTTGAATAGTGTCAGTGCCAGCCAGTCTCCTTGTTTTAATCCTTTGAATATTGAAAAGTTCTCAGTGAGCTCATTTTGTACTCTGACAGTTGCTGTTGATGAGTCTATTGTTGCTTTTACTATTACTATGTTAAAGCTATTCAATATTTTAAAATTAAAAGTGAAACTGGAACAAACCATGAAGTGAAGATATCCATGAAGTGGAGATACCTTAATACACAAGACCACCACATGCTTTGTATGCAATATTTGATATAACTTTTTTCTATTAATTGAGTCATATTCCTGTTTGAAATCTATGAATATGTTATGGATGTCAATGTCGTATTCCCATGATTTGTTTAGAATTTCTTTCACTGTGAATAGAATAGAATGGAAAAAACTTTATTCTCAGGATTCACAAGTTACACACAAATATAAATTGTCAATAGAGAGAATGATGTCAGTTACAATTTATAATGGTTGCTGTAAGTAATATAAAAGTCATAATATATAACATAAAAGTAATATTAAAATATTAATATTAATAACAGTGACTTTTAGATTAAGATAAGAGCCCTCAGTCTCCCCGCAGGTCAGCTTGAAAGTATTCTTCCACTTTGTATGGTTCAAGGTGTATGAGCAACTGTTGAACAGACTTTCTATATTTATTTATGTCAGTTTCTATTTTGATGCTGTAAGGCAGTTTATTAAAGAATTTAATACATGCATATTCTGTGGTTTTCTCAGATGCTGTTAGTCTATGTATTGGTATATTATAGTTTATGAGATTGTTTCATGTATTAGTATTATGGTTTGTTATGTGTTTCAAGAATTTATGTCTATTTAAAAAAATGAAAATTAAGCATTTATATTCCAGCCATGGACGTATAAACACAGATGGATTCAGTTATTTACATAAAATTGTGTAGTCAAAATTATTTGAATAGGTCACATTCTCAGCACCTTCAACTGTTGTCACGTTTACGTTACCCGCGAGTAATAATTGAAGCACGCTTATGGTCATTCTAGCATCACATTCTATCGAAGCTTCAAAACATTGTGTGTTAAAGGTATCTTATTGCTGTGTCCATCTATGTTTATACGTCCATGATTCCAGCCATTGTTAGCTTTTTGAATTTACCTCTATATGAATCCCTGTATTTCAGGTTAAGTAGAGTTCTGATTGCTCTTTTTTGTAATATAAAAACCTGTTCAGTATTACCACTTCCCTCCCAGAAAACTATTCCAAATCGCATTACAGAATGAAAATTTGAACAATATACAACTCATTTACATTTTTCGTCCAAATAATTTGCTGTTATTCTGAAACCTGTTACAGATCTCATTTATATATACCTCTAAAATCTAAATGTTTGTCAATATGTACCCCCAGAAATTTTGTCCTTTGGTTTAGAGTAACCATTTGTGATATAATAGCTGATCAGTTGTAGATCTTCCTTGTCTGAAGCCGGTTTAATGTTCCCTGACAATATTTTCAGATAATTGTTGGAGTCATTTGTTTAGTATATAATTAAAAACTTTGTATGCTGTGCAGAAAAGGGTTTTGCCGCAAAATATGTTTTCCAGACTGATTTTATTTCTTTTGGATCACTGATTATTTGCTCTTCCTGATTTCTGCATAGATTTTTTGGGGCTTGTATCCTTCTCTTAAATTGTGTAGATATTTGTATGTTTCCCTTACATCTTTGCTATGTTATTTGACTGCACCATAACAAGCGTTTCATATTGGTGGAATGTAACAAAAATACTTGTATACAAATACACCACACAAAACGAAATCATGTGACAACCTAAAATAAAAGTAGTTTTATTTTTAAATTTTCCTTAATTCTTAACAATCTTTTTGTGATAACATAGTTCTGGTACTTTTCAATTAGAGTTGTCTAGACAAAAGTCTCTTTCCTGGAGTGAAATTGTAATATCCTTAGTTATTATATTGTTCAATAATGTATAATTCAATATTCTTCAATTGCCTTTTTGACTTGGAATGATAATTGGGTAGACAAATAGTCAATCCATGAATGCAACAAAATTTAACTGCTTTGTATTGATTTATTTTAGATTGTATTTGATCTTTGAATTTCTTGCTATGGATCTGAAGAAATATATAGATAAACTACCACCTGGCACTAACATGGATCCAAAATTAGTCAAGAGTTATCTGTATCAAATAAATGAAGCTTTATTATTCTGTCATCAAAGACGAGTTCTTCACAGAGATATGAAACCACAAAATTTGCTTATTAATAGAGATGGCCAAATAAAGGTGAGTATATATTTTTTGTTTTGCGGAGTAAACATTTTTTGTTTTGCGGAGTAAACATTTTTTGTCACACATGAATTCGAAAATCAAATGTAAACACTGATTTTTAAAAAATTTATTGTGTAAAAAATAATTCCTTGATAAAATTCTTTTTTACACAATTCCTGACAGGACACGGCTCATATATATATCGCATAAGGAAAACTGAAGACGATTTATGTATAAAATATTGCTTATTCCATTGCTACATCATTTTTCACGATAAAAAAAAAGATATGAGGACAAGACTAGGAGAGACAACACCAAAGAATATAATGGCTGTCTTCTTTTTCTTGACTGAAAAAGATGACTGAAAAAGAAATAATAAAAAAAAGGAAACACAAGGGAGAGTGAGACAAGATTGGAGATGAGAGAATGACAGAAGACAACCTTTTATTCCTCATTGCATGGAACAAATTATAAGAACAAATTAAGTAATCTAAGTCAAAAGATGAACTACTCCTTCTTAATGTCAAGTACCCAGGTTTCTTGGGGTGTTGCTATCTGACCTGACAGTCTTATAAAAATTTCTTCCTCAAAAAAAAAAAAAATATGATGTGGTCAGGAGATACTATGATTATCTAATCGCCAGTATATTCTAGACGATTTAGCGTTACTCCAAGTACACTATAGGCTAAATTATAACCTGGCAATCACAGAAAAATGTTCTTTTCTATTTAACATTAGTATAAAGAATATTAATTTTTGTATTGAATAAAGTTATGCCTTTACATAATATTTATGACCAATTGATTACAAAGTTAACTAAAAAATAATAATAGGTTGCAGATTTTGGTCTTGGACGTGCATTTGGAGTCCCAGTAAGAGTTTACACACATGAAGTTGTTACTTTATGGTACAGAGCCCCCGAAGTACTTTTAGGATCTGCAAGATATACCTGTCCTATTGATATTTGGTCTATGGGATGCATTTTTGCAGAAATGGCTACCAAAAAACCTCTGTTCCAGGGAGATTCAGAAATTGATCAGCTCTTTAGAATATTCAGGTATTTAGAAAAGTTCATTATCATACAATCATCTTTTGATGTAATATGAACTATAATGTGTATAATGTCACTTGTTTAAATTAAAAGAAATATAAAAAATATATGGAAGAGATATATTTCAACAAAATTACACAAAAAAGTATTATTAGTACAGCAGGTTAAAAACAAAACTAAAAAGAACTGATGATTGTTGTTTTTTTAGGTGTCTAGTTTCAATCTTTTCTTTATGAGATTCAAACCCAGAAGACAATATCTTTGGAAAATTGCCATATATCCTAAGTAATCAATTTTAGCATTTTTAACTGATTTTATATTAACATCATTAGTCTAATATTTGTTTTGGTGTTGCTAACTTTAACATTTCAATAATTTAACATTTCAATAACTGTTGTTTTTGCTAAAATTAAATTGTAATTAAGAAAAATGTATACAGTTTACCATAGCAATAGCAATATTAGCAGTAATCAACACATTTAATATTATTCAAATAAAATAATTAACCAGCTACTACTAATTTCTACATGGTTTAGTCATAAGGAATGAAATAAACCACTCTGCCACTCCTATTGGAGATTGGATATCATAATGGCTACTCTAGCTTTATTAGCTGTTCTTCTAAAAAGTTCACCTGATCTACAGCTAGGATATTTTCTTCAGTCTACACTTCTTTTTTTTTTCTTTATTTTGTCTGGCATATTATTTCTCAGCAGTGAGTATGCCCCTTCCTCATGATATGTACCAAATACTGAAGTTTCCTTCCTTTTATTATTGTCAGTACCTCACAAAATTTGTTCAAGCTCTCTTAGCCCTGACCAATTTTGGCATTACAATTTTAGCTTGTCTTGACTAAAATGTCGAATTTACTCAATTTTTCTGATGTAAAAAGACTTATAACTATCCATGTCACAATTCTCAGAGCTGACTAGGAAATTCTTATCACCTCTGGCAATTGAATCCCTTTGCTGGACTGGGATCCATATTATTTAGATTCCCACTCATGGTAATTTAACTAGGATATATTAGTGAAGTGTTTGCCGCCGTTACCATACAGCTATTATTTTACTTTTGCCTGAGTATCTTACCTTAAATAATTTTAAAGTTCATCTTCTAAGTTGTTAACTAAATTTTCACTGACAGCTTACTCTCCTAGGTCCGATATGTATTATTCTCTAAAGGGTGGGTAGCCACTTATGCAGGATTAGTCATATTCAAATCTCTCTTCTTTGCCCTCATTGTTATACTCCACAGAACTGGGTGTTAATCTGAACTCAGCCATCTATTTACTCGGCACTACTAAAGTGATGTCCATACTGTGATGTGGAGTTGTCAGGTTAGAAACACATACGTGAGTGACACAGAAGGTCTCTGTGCGCATGTGTTATACCATGCTCAAAGGCAATAATATTTTACTTAACATTGGCTCATTTTCGAGTTGTAGAGTGATATTGCTAAAATTAAAATATGTGATTGTTCATAAAGCCGCTGCTCTTGTAACTATCTGAAAATTGGATTATATAGCTCTTTTTAATGTCGATAAATAAAAATATATTATTAGGTTCAGTATCACACCATATATGATACATTCAACAGAAGAAATTGGCAATTACTTTTAATCCAGCCACTTTACTGTAATGGGCTTTTCTCGAAACCACGTTTTTTCAACTAAGTATTTCAAAACTATTGTAATTATCGAGATGAACTAAAGAGCGTTTTACTCTTTAGGTATCTCTCTATGGTCGGTACTACAACCAAAAATATTCATTTTTATTTAAAAAAGTTAAATAATTTAAAGTATTGTTCTGAAGCTATTTTCTTGTAGCATTAATTACTATTTTAATGGGAATAAGCCACAATTGAAGTTTAAAATAAGTTTATTGACGTTTCAATTTACACTTCGGAAATCGTTCTCAAAATACAAATTTAATTTAATAAATTAAACAAATTTTCTTTTTTGTTGTGCCGTTTAAAATTTAATTGTGCCAAATTACGCAATTTAAGTGCCAAAAAGGGTTCGAAAAATTCAAAAGCCCGCCGTATTGTTTTATTTTTCGGTGAAAATGTTTCATTGTAGTACCGATCATAGCAAGTTCGACACATAACATGGAACCATTTTGTTTTTTTTTCTTTTGGATGATTCGTTCCCAAGAAAAATGACGCTCGCCAACAAGTTTGGGCAACCATTTTCAGAGTCGCCATTTTGACAAAAGTAGTTTAAGGAATGTGTCGCAGCCAGATAGTTAAATTATATGTTCGATTAAACAGCTAGTTATTAAAGGTTCAACGACAGGCTGATTGAAAAGCCGCCATGTCATTGACGTAATTTGTTACTTCACCACCGCGCCGCTAGTAGCACCAGTTGACTGGTTGAAAAAGAGTCGTTTAATTGGAACGATGTCATTTAACCAAATGACTAGCTATTAAGTCGAATCTTTATGATAACATGCCCATGTGTCAATGACTAACAAAGAAAACAGGACTTCTATGTCTTATTATTGGCTATCAAAATACGATTTCATGATAGTAGGCAATGACGAACATCTTATATTCAAAAGAAAAAATCCAAATTATATCCAAAAAGGAATATTTTCATATACTAAATTCTGCACATAAAGATTGTGGGCATGGGAGTCAAGACAAAATGATATATAGCCTTAAGAGCCGATATTATATAGCAAAATATTGTGAATATTGATAATAATGTTGATATATTTGTGTCACTCTCTCCCACATGCAATATTTAGAGAAATTTTCCCAGAAAAGGTATAGTAACACGACCTATTGTTTCTCAAAATTTTAATATTTGAGGACAGGTTGACTTAATTGATTTTCAATCTTGTCGTGATGGCGAATATAAATGACTGCTCAATTACCAAGATAATACAACAACATTTTTGAACTTCCGTCCATTGAAAATGAAAATGGTTAGTAAGGCAGCAATGAAGCTTATGGAAATATTTTTGATTTTTGCTGCTTCATATATTTTACAATCTAAAAATGGACGAGAGTTCACCGCAAAAGAGATAGAAGAACTGGTTGCACTCTGCCTTGATTGCAAAATTGTACATGGTAGCCCAAGGCGCCCTCAAACTCAGGGCAGCGTTGAATGTAACAACCAGGACATGAAAAATATGATACTTTCTTGGATGTCGGACAAAAATTCGACCAATAGGTCTGTAGTCTGTTGTTGGTTGTTTGTTTTGTCAGTACCAAAAAAATTCTTCATTTTATGGAATCCTCGGGAGGTCTCCTTATAATGCATTGTTTGGTAGTGATCCTAAAGCTGGTTTAAAAGGTATGATTGTTGATGAACATTGAAAAAGAAGAACAGTTACAAAAATTAAAAGATGGGAAATGTGACGATAGTACTGAGATACAGCATCAGAGTTTAAACACCTAGAGATCGAATATAGCATGGAATGATGAAACTCAAATCACAGACATTACTTGAACAACCTGAAAATCCTGAGAATTATGAAATTAATACTGATACGAATCTAATAAGTAATAATGTTCATTTAGAAATTATAGTGGCTGAACCTAGTTCCTCAAATCTAGGTGACTATTAATTAGTAATTACTCTATAATGTTGATACTAATAACATTGACAAAGAATCTAGTCAGTTAAAGAGAACTGAGTACATTGAAGCAATTTGTGACACATATAATAGCGCCCATAGCTGTAAGTCTTGCAATAATCCTGTTTATGTCACATGTGGATTGTCTGAAGGTTTTGGTTCCACAGTACTGTGTTTTAGATGTAAAACGTAATAAACATACTATTTCAGAGAAATAGGGCCTACAATAGTTTTAAACATGCTGCTGAAAAAATGGTTGAAAACACAGCAAACCCTCTACTTATTGGCAGTAGTATCCTGATAAGTGTACCGAAAGTGGATCGTGGACCTTTGGACACCAAAAATATCAAAGGAAAAATTGTGGATTTAGAAATGGAGTTTATAGAATAGGCACAAAAAACAGGCATAAAATCCATCATTGATTATGTGATAAGTAAACAAGAAACAAATATAGAGGTGAACGACGTAAGAGTGTTGAGAGGACTCACTTGCGGATAAGATCATTTTTTAGTAAGAGCTAAAGTAAAAATAAAATTTAGAAGAACAAATCAGGCCAAAGATGAACATAACAACTATTCCGTACTCACCGACGAAATGTGTACAACAAAGTATAATTTTCAAAGTTTTAACGATGAAAGCACGGTATTTCTTTATCAGAGGCGCCTTGACAGCAAACCATCAAATGCGGACGAATGCACTTTTTATGAAATCTATGAGAACGTTATCGAAAGTCTAAGAAATGCCACCAGAGAAGCAGTAGGAATGAAGGCAAAGGAGATAAACAAAAAATACTGGTGGAACAAGGAGATAGAGTTACTAGTTCAGGAAAAGAAACAAAAATATCGATACATTTTTGGCAAAGTAACGTATGTGACATTTTTGGCAAAAATCATGTTTTTCAATTAAATTAACACTATTATTGTTAAAAAGGTACTGCCAAAGTGTAGTAAGCCTAGAATTACTTTAAGCCTTTTTTAGGACAAGTTTTTTCAGTCATAATTTAAATAAGTTTAACCAGGTTGAATTAAAAAATTGTTTTTTCTACAAATCGTGTTTGGTGACGTACGTTACTTTGCAAAAAATGTATCGATATTTAAAATGGTTGGCAACAAAAAATGAACAAGATCTGGAAGATTATAAACAAACAAAAAGACAATTAAGAGCGGACATTAATTTAGCTAAGAACGAGACGTGGGATAAGAAATGTGAAGAAGTTAACAATTATATCGGAGGAAGGAAATGCTCGGAGGTATGGAAATTTATGTCAAATATCAAAAACCCAGCAAAGGACAGAGCAAATATCCAGATAATCAAACCGGAGCAGTGGATACAACACTACAAAGGTCTACTACAAGAAACTAGACAGAAATACATGATAGAATCTCCAAAACATTTTGTAGTAAATGGAGAAGAAGTAGAGGTATCCGAAGAAACAGTAAAAAAAGACAGTTTTGAACCTTAAGTTAGGGAAAGATAGTGGACCAGAAGGGATTTTCTCCGAAATGTTAAGATGGGGAATGGAAAAACTCTTTAGAAATCGTAACAATAATTATCAATAAAGGAAATAAACTGGACTGTAATAACTATCGAGGCATATCAATCACGAGTACACTGAGCAGACTATACAGTAGAATACTGCGAGATCTAATTGAAGAAGACTATAAAGAGAAAGAAGAAGAAGATCAAAGCGGTTTTAGAGCAGGTAGATCGTGTACCGACAACGTATTTTGTCTAAAACAAGGCATAGAGAAGAGATCTGCTAGATATCTAGAAACCCATCTTACATTTGTGGACCTACAAACAGCATATGATACAGTTCCAGTATCGAGACTGTGGAAGGTATTAGAACAAACGAACATCAATCACAACTATATAGCTGCACTTAAAGAACTGTATAAAAATTCACAATCAAGAATTAAGATAGGTAAAAAACTTACAGATGCCTTCATAGTCAATAAGGGACTAAAGGAAAATACACGGAATGGGTATAGAGATAGATGACAGATACCTGTTTACTCTTCAGTTTGCAGTTGATCAGGTCATAGTGGCCAATGACAAAGACGACATGCAATATGATTAGAAAGCTGATAGAAGAGTATGAGGAATGGGGCTTGACAGTTAACGTAAATAAAACGGATTATCTATGTGTAGGCTCTCAGAACGAAAATTTGGAGTTGGACAATGTTCAAGAAATTCTGCAATGTCAAGAATATGAATATTTAGGTATCACATTCGACAATACCGGAACAGATGTGAAAGAGATAGAAAACGATTAGTTACAGCTATAAAGATAATAGGATGTCTGAATGGCATCTTGAGGAGCAAGGAGATAACAAAAAGGAGAAAATTTAATATATACGAGACAACGGTTAAGAGCAGCCTATTGTATGGAGCGGAAACATGGAGAATTCCAGACAGACAAAAAAAGAAGGTAGAGGCAGTCGAAATGGACGCGATAAGAAGATCTATGCGAGTCTCACGAAGAGAAAAAATGGGGAATGACCATATAAAACAACGAATGGGAATAGAAGGTACGATAATTCAGGATATCGAAAAGAAACAACTTACCTGGTACGGACACGTAGAACGAATGCAAAATACTAGATGGCCCAAAAAAATACTGAACTGGAATCCAATAGGGAATAGAAAGCGAGGAAGACCCAAACTAGAGTGGCAGCAAAACATAAAAAAGTCAATGAGCGAACGGAATCTATCAACGGAAGATTGCCACGATAGAAGAGGATGCAAGTTAGGTGTCGGACAACGGAGAAGGACGTTAAAAATTGGTTTGTGCGACAAGAATTGCTCTCGTCAACGCAAAGCTATGATGATGAAATTTTAGATACTCCGATATCTTTAAATAAAACAATGCCGTACCAGTCGGCTAATCGACATTCAGACATGTGATTGAATGGCGTCCAATCAAAGGGCTAATTCTATTCTATCAAACGGCTAATTTAACCATCTGGCTGCGACATATGTACTTGCAACTGTAAAAAGTTTGATTTTCAAATAATTTTTGTACTATAAATGAAATTTATTAAAAAAACCACCTTTTTGGAATAATCTGGCCTTAATTTATATAAAAAAAATTAATATATATTTTATATACCATGTGAAAAATAAAATCGTATTATTAATGTAATTCTTTATTAAAAACAAAACAAAAATATATGCATCTTTGTAAGGTTGAAGTAATAAATTGTGAACACTGTAGAGCCTTATATGCCATTTGATTTACAATATGCACAAGAACAAACGCTGGATTTTCTCGTGAATTTTACTAAATATACACAATTTATTTTATATTTATATTGTATAAATATTATTTTTCTAGGATTCTGAGAACACCCACCGATGATATCTGGCCAGAAGTTTCCTCTTTTCCAAACTACAAAGCCACGTTCCCAAACTGGGTTAACTTTAACCTCGCTAGTCAAGTTAAAAGCTTAGACGACGACGGTAAAGATTTATTACAAGAAATGCTGGTCTATAATCCAGCGAAAAGGATAAGTGCAAAGCAAATTGCTAGACATCAATACTTCCAAAATCTCGATTTATCTGTAAAACCAGTGATCCCGGAAGATGACAAAAAGTAACCATCTAATAAGTAAAATTTGTATTTTGCTGGCTTTTATTTTAGCATCTCAATATTACAGGGATTACGTGCTTATTGAAAATTTATTTTTTTATGGATCACGATTTTTATGACTTGTTTAAACAATTGATCATTTGGTGATGCATTATTTTCGTTTAGTTTTTGAAATCCCTTTGAAACAATTGTTTAAAATGAAGGTCAGCATCATTCTATTCCAGACCAAACTAATATTTATTTTTGTGTTATATTCTGGGTGAATTTTTGGTTACTTTTTGCAAATCGCAACGGCAATTTTTGTTTTCTTGCTTAAATCAAATAATAGTAGTTGGATTATATGTTTTATTTTTGTATTCTTCGTGTAGTATTCGGTGTTTGTTGTAGAAGATGTTTTGATTTAAGCGGAATAACAAATCTGCCATGAAAGCATTTCATTTAAAATAATTGGCAGTTGTTCGCTTTTATCTGTTTGAAGTAAACCATTTTTGCTATTATAAAGATTTCGAAAATAAGATTTATAAGGATTATATAGTGTGAACTTGTATTTTAAAATCACTGAAAAGGTGGAGGCGCCCAAGTGCTGTGAGTTTCTAGACCATCATTTTAGGCTTTAAGTTGTGAGTGTCTTTAAAGCTAGCTTCCATTTACTCATTTCCTTTTGCCCTCTTACATTATTCTCGCTATCTTTGTGACATTTTCTGTTCTACTATATCGTTTATCCTGGTCTGCATATTCTTTTCTTTTGGAGTTCTAAAAGCTGTAACATACTCAATAGACTACCATTATAGACTTCTTCAGTATAAAACCACTTTGCTATTCACCAAGGAATCATTCTACCTGTGAACTTAGACAACTTAATAAGGTGTTTAACTCTGTCTACTGATGTCCACTGTGTTCAAGACAGTTGAGACTTTGTCCAATAGATCTTGTTTGTTTGTAGTTTGCAGATAATTTCAGTGCATCATTCTTTTGTCGTTGGTTCTTCATTCCAGACTGATAATTTTAGTAGATTTAGTCTTAAAGATTATCTTCGTTGATTCTTAGGGATCTGTTATTCTTGTTACATTTGATTCTGGTCCTTACTTCGAGCTGTGAAGTAAGTTGTAGGTAGGTGTTGTTGCCTTTTGAAGAGATGTATTAGATTTGGAGCAAAGTAATAGTTTAAAGCGCTCAACGCTTTTTTATATGTGATAAATTAAACTTAATAAAAGCGAAAGACTGTGCAATTGAGTTTCTGTTATGATTCACTTCTTAAAAATTGCAATAAACAGTTCGATCAAAATTACCAAAGCTTGCTTGATGTAAATCGAACTGACCTTCAGGACTATTAAAACCTAATACAGTCCTAAATAAGAATTTGTATATATAGTAGCTTTATAGTATACAGTCCATCAACTTAAGTAGCCAAATTATAACAAACTATAACTTCGCAAATTGGTGAAAATGCCGTGACAGATAATTTTTTAGCCAGAAAATCTGAAATTGGATGTTTCCTTTCAGACGCTGTGAGAAGGATCAATTTGACAATGATCGAAAATAGTATAGACAGCATTATATTTGTACGTTTAATAGAAAGATAACAAGTGGAAACGCAAGGAAAATGTTTACTAACAAAAATTATGACGCATTAAACATTTCGGACACAAATTTATGATTATTAATTACAATATGGCGCTGACCTCATCAAGCAGCCATCTTACAGATACGCAGAAGTGTCCAATACAGCTAATGCTTCATAAAAAAGCAATAAAATCTGATAATATGCTTCGAAAACTACAAAGTTGTAGAATCATGCTATAAATTTACAACTTAACACTCTAAAACACCCTCTGTATTTTATCCTGATATGCATACCATTTTAATACCTTTAATGAAGTACTACTGATTATGATGTATATTATCGAATAGTTACTGGTGTCCGACTCGTTTAATGCCATCATTTTTCTCGTTCTTTCTATATATTATCTTCCAATTGGATGTATAACTATAATACTGTTCCCAACTGGAGGATTTTTTTTAATACATTGTTAAAAGTGTCAATTTGACAAAAATTTTCGAACACTGTCGCACACTGCTAACTTGTAGATCTTGCTATGAATCTACAACTCTGCACTGTCTGACTGCAGAAATGCGCTGTGTATGGTTGTCCGCCAAATAAATTATCATTGTTAAATGTTTTTATAGATACATTAGTGAAAAAATTAGATTGCTGTTAAAAATTTAATCCGACATGCTAATGCCCTAAAATTTACATCTTCCTGATATTTTTCACTTATTATCTTCCAATCAGACGTAAAAATCTAATTCTGTTACCAGTTATGCTCATTGATAAATTGACGCTTTGTATATCACAGCAACTTAAAGAAAATTGCCCCAAATATTCCAATCATAAAAAATTTGTCCGTCACAACATTTTAAAATGATACAATACGTTACATTTTGCTATTTTCTTCGACTTTTTAGGTTGATGCACTGTAAACTAAAAAAACACATAAGAAAAGTTCTTTCCCATGGACTAATTAAAAGTATCAACGATTATGAAGACTTCTTACCCGTGGACTTATTAAAACCCCATGACAATACGAAGACTTTTAAGTCCACGTCACTTGGATTAATTAAGGACACTGCCATAAGTTTAGATAATTAAAATTGTGCCAAATTTTGTACAACGAAGATCTCACAATTAGTTAAAAACCGAAAAAGATCTCGAAATTTCTAAATTCCGTTGGGATACTAGGCCCAATGGTTAAATAGATATTTCTTTCTCTTCCTGCACTCGTTTTAACTTTAACACATCAGTTTAGTGGTCTTACCAATTTCTCAGTTTGGTTCCTACTAAATCAAATCATTGCTTAAAAAAATCTCATAAAATTTAATCATTTGTTTGCGTTTATATTTACTAAAACAGACCCGTATTGTTTTGTTTTATATACTTCTTACATTTTTTTTCCAGATAATTTCATTCTAATTCCAATTATCACAATTTCTGTTTTCTTATCTGTCGCATTGTTTTCTTTATCCTTTATTTTTAGGAAAATCAATATTGTTTATATTCGTTATGAAAAAATAAAACGACTGAGAAATTAAGGTTTCAATCTACACAGACAATGTTTAGAAATTTGTGCCATTTAGAAATATAAATTGTTTTATAAATAAAAAGTCCTTAATATTCTTCCAATCATTATAACTGATATTTTCGTTAATGATAATTTAGAGATCTGTACATTTTACTTTACATCTACTAGTTAAGCTTGGCATTTAGAATATACAATTCGAAATAAAACATTAGATAATTTGCGCATGGAACTTTCTATAGACGGTATATTATAAATATGATGATTATTTCTTGTGTTTTTAAATTTACACAAAATTAATTTCCAGTTGCTTATATATAAGCGTACATACAACAATATTATTAAAGTGCTACAGTCTGTTAACACTTAGGATAGTCTCTAAAGTTAGGATATCTCAAAAACCAGAGACAATTTGGTAATTTGGAGCTCAGATTTGGATTCAGCGCACGTAAAAACCTTCAGTACAGTATATTCTGATCTCTGGATCCGAGTATTGGTTAAATTTTGTCGGCCTGTATAATTGACGAATATTTTTATCAATAAAAAAAGAACCTTTTAAATATACACTGCTCCAAGAAATTAACGCAATATTTTAAAACTTACCATATACATGAAAATAGTAACTGAAATGAAACGCATTTTATTTCGTATTACTTTACTTTGTAAAACAAACAGATTTGGTAATGTTATCTCTAACCATTTTCAATATTCATAAACTTAAAACAATAAACAACAAAATTGCTCATTTTAAAAATCGAAATTGTTCAAATTTTTTTGCTTAATAAGACGTATTTCCACCCCCGCTACGAATGACAGCTTGACATCGATGATTCATACTTGAAAAAACGGTCTTAAAATATTCTCATACAGTATTCCAAAATTGGACAAGACGTTGTTCCAGTTTGGTTGATTAGGAGAATTCTGTAGACGTCTACCAAGCAAGTCTCAAATATTTCTTATAGGATTGAGATCAGCACTATTCCATAATGCCGATTCCAACTGTCTCTAGATAATTTTGCAACGTGCGGTCGTGCACTAGAACAAAATTTTAGCCAATTGAAGGAGCAAGTGGCACAACATGGCCTTGAATAACGTCAACGATATATTGGTAAGTCTTTATAGTACCTGATTCAACACCACTAAGTCTGTTTCTTTTAAAGAAACACCATCCCAGACCATAACCGACGATCCACCGAAAAACATCGTTTATCGCGTATTATACTATGCATACCGTCGTTATACGTGACTACGCCTATTACAATTATAAAAACTGAATCTAATCTCATCTGTACACAGCACTCTATTTCAATCAGCCTCCAACCAATGGCCATGATTTCTTGCAAATTATAAACGCGTTCTGCAATGAACTATTGTCAATGCTGGCTCTCTGGCAATTATACGATTTAGCAAATTACATTCCTTGAGGCATCTTCTAACCGTTTCACAGCTGATTCGAACATTATGAACATCTTTAAATTGGGTAGTTACAAGTCATTGTCTTAAGATGCGGAGTCTTAAAAACAGTCTTTAAAAGGCGTTGTTATACGATGTCGACTTTGTTCTAGAATGACTACCTGCCTTTCTGGATCGTTCCATCATTCGTAAGACCACTGTGTGGTATACGCCGAGCAGTTTCCCCCAATATCTGTAATTCTAATCTTTGTGAAAAACCACTATTTGAGCACATTCTTCATTAGTCAAATTTCTCGATTCTCGAGTAAAATATTAGCAACAAATAGCAATAGTTCACACAACGACTTGAAAACAAGTAACCTGATAAAAACATTCCAAAAACATGGTACATTCAATACAAAAATGAATACAATTAAATTTAGGACACCAATGAATCGCTTTTGTTTTTGTAGATGGTACGTTAATTTCTTGGAACAGTATATGCTAAACTAAATTTTGATTCAAATTACCGGTTTTAACCCAGATATATCTATATAGTTTTTAAATAAATAATATAAACTATAGATATAGTTTTTTTTATTTTTTGTAACTGTTACGGGATTTGTAATTAAAAGTGATTATTTTCTCTATATCTACCTACCCAGCAGAAGTTCTTTAGTCATTATTAATGTGTAATAATGTCTTAACAAAGACATTGTAACACATTAATGATAACTAATATTAAAAAAAAGTTGGCGGGGTATTATAAGATCTTAGACTGCGAATCGAAATTAAATATTCGATGTGTCGATATGAGCAAAGATATTCTTCTGGTATGTATGTGTACTTCTTAATAATCACTTTTAACTAAATACATACACCATCCTTTGATCCAATCGTGTCTTTTTTCTTCTACCAAGTTTCTTTTAAATATCAGGCATTTCCGATAAAATTCCTTTTATGATTTCTACATCTGGGTTTGTTTAGGTATTCTTTGTATCTTCTCTCTTTGGACGGCAACAATTTCAGTCGTTTAGTTAAATATTTCTTACTCTTTCTCTCCATTACGTCACTTTTTGCAGATTTCAATTAATCGATTTCGAATTCTGTTCCGATTGATTTTTGTATGTTTGATTTCATTCCAATCCTTCGTCCCAAATTTAAGTGCCAAGCTAGATTTGTGAAGTAAACAAATCTCACTTCACTATAGAAAGCAACAATTCATTTATAATAAAAATCTTCTATTTTACACAATGTAAAGATTCCCGTCATATCTTCACATGTTTATAAATAAATTACGTTTTCAGTTGGTTCACATTGTATTAGTGCAACTGATAAGCTATATATATTTTTAGGCTAGCTAGTAATTAAAGCCATGGTAGTTCTCAAAAAGACGTTAATATATTTTATTTAAGAAAGTGATAAAATTAAAATATCGTAGAATTAAATGTACACGAAATGAAGAGTAATTAAATAACGGTGTAAGTACCAAAAACTAAACTGTGACATTAATATTAAATGAATTTACTAGCAAAAATAGTTTCAAATGTTTTTCTACACGCTTTAACTATGTCTTAGCCCTTCGGGATAGTATAAAAATCAGTAACAGTTCTACTGTTTGCTAGATCGACGTAGATGCCGTCTTTGGTCATTTTTCCAATATGAAGAAGGCTAATCAGGTATGTAGGTTGTAAACCTTCAAAAGAAATCGTTTTGCTTGCATATCTGCATTTTCAAGTAGCTTAAAATTAAACAGACCTTAAAATCTCACAAGTTTTGTACAAAAATATCTTTTTCGGCGGAATCTTAGCAAGTTTCATCATAACCTGTTTATTAACATAAGATTTACCACCACATCTCAGTTTATTTCGATTATTTACTTAACTACCTTCGCTATTTTTCCTTTTTATTTTAATGTCCATATTTTAAAATATAATACTAACTACTCTTGTAGATGGTGGTATAAGTATTAATGATGCTACGAAGCATTAGAACGTTGTACATCTTATTGGGCAGAACAGACCAAAATTAAAGAAACATTGAATTTTGGCACTTACACAGTTATTTAATTATATTCAATAATTTTGGTTACTTTTAGAAGAAATACATTGTAGCTTCTTCACATTGAAGTTGTAAAATAGGCTGTAAAACGATGAAATTTCTATAAAATTAGAAATCATAGTCTATTTGCTCTAGTTACAATGAAAATTACCCAAAGTTTTCAGAATCAGCAATCAACTTAAAAGATTTACATATATAATTATCTTAAAGTTGAAATACGTCACGTCTTCTGCACGGTACTTAAAAATAGTTTGTCCATTGTAATATTTCGAATTTAAATATAACCATCATTACTAATCAAAAGACTTAACCGTTGTTATTGGAAGACTGTGATCAACATTATATATTATTACACTTATCCACATGTATATGACATTGTATATCTAATTAGAATAATTTTTTACTTCAGATATTTTTATATCTTAGGCTAGACTATTTTGTGTTTAAACAAAATATTTTATTGTCTATTATAAGGGACCAATTTTGCGATTAAAAAGTTGTTTTTCTTTACTTGTTTATTTTTAATTCTTGATTGTCTTTCCTATTTACCTAATTCCCTATCACGACCTTTTGCACATGGGGAATGCTCTAGGTATTCGTAATACCGATATTTAACATTTAATAAAAACTGTGGCACCTACCTGACAGTAGGTATAAAACAACAACAACCACCACAAGTGAAACAAGCAACACAAAGGGCCCCACCGGCCGATGTGCGGATAGAGCCCTTATTTTATTGTAAAAACAAGCGTGAGACTGAACATATTTAAGCTTTTTCAAATAAAAAAAATACAATATTTGGGTCATGTGTTCGGTGGACATGAATTACTCCAAATCATATTGGAAGGTAAAGTGCAGGGCAAAAGATCAGTTGTAAGACGCCTGAACTCGTGGCTGAAAGCGCTCATCTACAGAAATCTTTCGTGCAGTAGTTTCCAAAGCTACAATTGTCATTTGGATCGCTAACCTTCGAAAGGAGACTGCGCAATCAGAAAAAATAAATGAATATTTCAAAAAGCTATTCCGATTTTTTTTTAAGTTTGTTAATAATAAAAAAATTGCAAGAATCGATGTTACAAAATAGATAGCTGATAGTTTATCAGTAATAATAATACAGAAAGTATTTTTACAAGTCAAATATAAAAATAAACATAAATAACAATAAAAATCCGGAGATTTCTTACGTTTGAAATCAATTCACGAAACTGCCCAAATCTGTGCTTTCTACAATGTTCATTCCGTGACACCACTTTATCTAGGCAAAGACCCTTCGCCGAATCGATTTCTAGTACTGAATTCGTGAGTATGCGAAAATAAGAAAGACAGTTATGATTTAGTTTCAGTACGAGAACCACCATTCGCTTATACGTATCTTATCGTTATAGAATCATCAGAGTGAATTTGTGGTAAGCTCTATGAATGAAACCAAACTTTCTGTCATGTAAGTAACTATTTAAAAGTAATTACACAGAGACATCTATTAAAAACAAGAGAAATTTAGAGATTTCTTACGTTTGAAATCAATTCAACAAACTGCCCAAATCTCAACCACAGAAAAAATTACAATCAGAATGCCCACTCTCAGATACCGCCTTTGAAGTTTGCCAGCACGCGATTGCCATATTTTAGACGGAAACATAAACTCGGATTGAGAAATTTGTGACAAGCTATGACAGAACTGTAATTTAAATTTTTAGAGATTAATAATCTAGTACATTTTTGAGATAATTTAATCTATTCTTCAACTAAAAGTACGAATAAAATAGTGCATATGTCTATAAAATATATAATATATATAGAAATCGTTCATATATAGTTATTTTATACCTATTGTTTAAGACGGGATAGATTTTGTTTCCATCCAGAGAGGTGGCTATACCGCTCTGATGAGATCTAAAGAGGTAATAAAACAAAAAGCTAGTACCGTCTTTATATTTTATTTCTTTACTCCGTTTGGAGTACCAGAAATTGAATTCACTACGAACTTTGACCATGATTAACGACATGTGAAATGCAATCTTAGATTCTCTTGTCGAGTTATTTATCAAGCTGTTTGCTTTGCAATTTTTAGAAAGCGAGGTGTCAAAATTTGAATTCGATTTCGCCAGGTAGAAATTGTTTGATTTCTCTTTTTTTAATATGTCTATAGTTGTCGCAAATAAATTAAACCGGGTTAATTTTTCTATGCATACCATATAAAATGTCACTAAACAGCACTGGTTCCGTTTAAAACATGGCCGATTCCGTCTGCGCGTACTTCAAGGAGAGTGGGCATTCTTACTATTTATTATTCTATGTCTTTACTGTCTTTCGTATTTTCTTATAAACATAAATAATTATAAATAAAAAAGTCAAATGTTAATTATTTGGGAATTGACATTGACAGCAAATTAAAGTTCAACTACCACACATTCTGTATAAAAAGAAAAATTATAACTAAACTCGGATTCACCAGTAGATTTCAGCGTTGGCTTGTACGGACAATGTTAATCAAATGGAAGAAAACGCTGTAGCGTTGCTAGTTCATCCTCGGCCTCAACGTGGCAGAGCCGGCTTCGAACTTAACACTCCCTTACACACGAAGCATTGCAATTTTGCACTATCATTCACTGATTTGCCCTAATGACTGTTCTAGAAAATATTCGGACGTCATCGTTATATAGTGCTCAACAATTGATAAGTCATACTTATGATTTCAAATATTTTAAAAGTTTGTTGAGATCCTAGTATGATGACTTGAATAGAATAAATGAACATAGATGACTTTAATATTCAACTTTTTGCTGAGCCTAGTAAAAAATGGCCATAATGGCAAAATTTATTTTATTTCGTTTAAAATTAATTTCGGAAATAATAAAAAGTCGGGGTAATAATATTACTTTAATCATATTAAATTTTTACAAACTTCGGCTATTTCTGGAGTAAAATATTACTTCGATCCTTATCAGTTGTTGAGCACTGTTGTATTTGACGAATAGAAAATTTCCCTGGGAAACGGGAAATTTGACGAATAGAAAAAAAATGGGGTCCCTAAATGGGTTTCCTAAAAGACTTGTTTAGGCCGTTTTAATTAGCATTTAAATTTACAGTAAAATAACCTTATTTACCTAATATTAAGCATTTATTTTTTTCGAAATTTTCTCCGCATAAAAACTTAAAATTGTTCATTTAACACTGTTAAAATAAACTCTATTTTATAATAAATGACCTGATTGACCAGAATTTATTTTGAAAAAACAAAAATTAGAAAATTCCAAAATATTCGATATTTTTTTCCATGAATGTATAAAAGAATTGTTTGACGACAACATAAATAACATTGTTCAAGTAAATGGTGAAACGGGACCTGAAATCCTAAAATTTGAAGTAGAGGTGGCACTCCCAAACTGGGAAGGCAAAAGGACCTGATGAGGTTCCTACTGAATTGCTAAAGCTCTTCGATGATGACTAAATAGGTATAATATTGCACTTATTTAACACAATATACAAAACTGGTATTAAACCTCAACCTGGCTGTTGTTTACATTCATTACACTGCCAAAGAAATCCAATGAATGTTCAGAACATCGAACAATATCTTTAATGAGCCATCTACTAAAGATACATATTTCTAAAAGTCATCCACAACCGAGTTTATCAAAAGTTGGATTCAGATATTAGTGATACACAGATGGGGTTCAGAAAAGGACTATGTACTCGAGAAGCTCTCTTCGGTTTGAATGTTCTTACACAAAGATGCCTAGACATTAATCAGGAAGTACATGCATGTTTTATCGATTTTGAAAAAGCATTTGACAGAGTACGCCATGATAATAAAGATAGTAGATAATAAAGATCTGCGAATAATTCTCAATCTATGTTGGAATCAGAAAGCTAACATAAAAATAGAAAATGAGATATCACAAGCAATAGAAATACGTAAAGCAGTAGGACATTGATGCATTTTGTCATCGCTGGTATTTAATGTTTATATTGAAAGCCTCTGCCAGAAAACCCTTTTGCAGGCAAACGAAGGAATCGTAATCAATGGAGAGGTTGTAAATAATATTCGATACGCAGACGACACTGTACTAGTTGCAAGAACAGTAGAAAAATTACAACGATTACTTACAAATATAAATATTGCCTGTACCAATTATGACATAATTATCAATATAAAAAAAAACAAGTACATGGTCTTCAGTAAAAACATGACACAACCAGCACATATTAGTATAAACGGCATTTAAATTAAAAAAGTGTCAAGTTACAAATACTTGGCGGCTTCAATAAACGAAATTGGGAGACCAAAACAATGAAATAAAAAGACGTATCGAAATTGCCAGGGCCACATTCATAAAGGCGACGAAATTCTTCTGCAACAGAGATATAAGCATCCCTCTACGATTAAGAATGCTAAGGGGCTACGTATTTAACACGCTATCATAAGGTGTAGGGGCCTGGACTCTCAAACAGAACAACATAAAAAATATTGAAAGTTTCGAGATGTGGTGCTACCGTCGAATGCTGAAGATAAGTTGGGTTGAAAGTGCCACAAGCTTTGAAGTAATACAAAGGATAGGAAAAGACCCAGAAATTTTGTCAACAATCAAACGAAGAAAACTCGAATATTTGGGTCACCTGATGAGAGGACATAAATACGCATTACTTCAATATATAATGCAAGGAAAACGGAATCCAGACCGTATCATAGAAGAATGTCATGGTTGCGTAATTTGATAGAGTGGTTTGGCTATACCACTAATGAACTCTTTAGGTCAGCTGTAAACAAGGTCAGGATAGTCTTGATGATTTCCAATATCCGATAGGAGTGGCACAAGAAGAAGTGAGAAACAGCCAGCCTTCGACAAATTACTAGGATGTGTCATCCTGATAACTCACTTCAGAATCCAACAAAGAGGACAATAAAATTGGAATAGACCCTATAAATGAGAGACACAATAATTTGTTTAAATATTTCTCTATTCAAGAAACATGCAATTGATTGATCATCACTTTATGAATATACCTGAAAACACTTACCACAGATATAAGGAGAGAACTCTATTTGAAGAAATTCTCTACATATTACAACGATAAACATTTTTTGATATGAATTAGTTGAAATTATTCAAACCTGTATTATCAAAATATTTGTTCAATAAGCTCTGATTTTTTGAAAGCGTAGATTCAAGGGCTGACATGTAGGTGTTTTTTTTTTAAGTAATAGCTAGATCTTCTACTGAACTGAATTATTTAATGATATATAAGTTTCCTAGAAATGTTTTAAAAAATCTTTTTAATAACATATTATTTACTAGTATTAATTCACTGATAATTTTTTGCAGAAAGTATTTTTATTAGTTTATTACATTAGTCTCTTTCCCCACACTTTATTGTACGTTGCGGTTAGTTTTATAAATGCATTCTTTTATCTCTCACATGCTCTTTCATTGTATACAGTTATGGCCAGCACTTAATCCTCGCTTAGTTGGCTTCTAAACTTGGTTTAGAATATGAGATACTACTTTATCATTTAACTTAAATTTTTCTTCATTGCACTCGCTATCCTCGATCAAAAATACAAATAATATTTTCTACTCTTTTATTTGATAAACTATTTTTAGGAAAAAAAAAGAACAAGCAAAAAATCCTAAAGTCTAATTATATCTAGAACTAACACGTTCGTCTCTCTGATTAAGTTTGTTCTGTTGGTCTTGTGCAGCTGAAATTCTTTCCATCAATTCGTGATTGTATGTACTGTGCAACATCAACGCCAGGACACCAGCTCGATTGGCCATACTAGTTCTTATCTGTCGTTCTTTCTCTAGCAATTCGTCTAGTTTTAACCACTGGCGAACCTTTTCAAGGTCGATCTAAAATATAATAAAAAAGGATAATTACAAAATCATTATTGGGAAATACAGAGTCATTGAAAAAAAAACGTAATTAGAACACTCTTTCCTTCTTGTGGTGATTCACAAAAGGAATTTATAATAAATATAAATACATCCTACATAACCTAACTTGTATTTACGATTATCTGTTTTCTTTTAAACACAATTTTAAATAAACTAAAGTAGTATAAAACACGTTCAGCCCAACATATATAGGGAAGTTAATGTACTAATGGATATACTCAGAAGACGAAGCAGCATTTGGCGAGTACATTAACAACACCCTTTAACACAGCGAAACATCAAACGGTGTAGATGAGTTAAACAAATAAACAGTTGACACACTTAACTAGCACAAGTACGATTTTGTCCAAAGAGTAAACTAGATAAAAATATTACTTTAAAAACACCTCTCAAAATAATACAAAGAAGGCACAAGCAAAGTTACAAAGTGATATGCACAAGAACTCACAATGCATAAGGGAATTCAATAAAGACATATCGAAAGCAGTGAGAACGTATGTTAGGAAATTTAAATAAAACAAATTGGAGCATAGAGGAAATGAGACAAAAAATGGCGAAAAGTAGAAAAGAAATTTTCCAGCTTACGGATAAAAAGAGTGATGTAACAGCAGACAGACAGAAAATACTAGCAATAGTCGAAGAGTTCTACATTAGATTAAACACACAATAAATCAACAATTAACATAAATCAAAACCATGGACAAAAGGTAGAAAACCAGAAATCTGAGGATTTTCCTTTAATTAGTCAAGATGATATACAATATGCACTCAAAAAAATGAATAAATAACAGGGCTCCGTTAGATGACTTAGTTACAGAAGTTACAAAATTTGGGATAACTTTTCTTTTTAAGAAATTACAAGACCTCTTCAATCTCTGGTTGTATAGTAAAAAAATCGACAGTTGGTTTCAGTGTCGGTCCGAATTTTCATCCAATTCGAAATGGATTTTCCTTGTTTTTTTTTTTGTTATCGGAAATAGTGAAGTTTGGTAGTATGTAGCAGTTATATGTGTAGTTACAGTTAGAAGTAAGGTTTGGAAGAATCTTTGAAAAGAGAACACGCTGTGAGTGTCGGCGTTAAGAACCGACAAATTTGTTGAAAAAAAGTGATTTATACTCAATGTAATGTGTCAGTTCAGATAAGATTAAACACTGTTTTTGTTTAAGTCGTCTCTCACTTAAGAGATTTGTATCTAAGAGACTTGCGGCGTTTCCAACAAATTTCAAAAATGCCCACATGGTTCCAGTTTTTTAAGAAGCGGAGCTTCAAATTTTGAAAAAATATTTCAAAAAATACCCTGACAAATTTAAATGAGTTTCCATTATTAACATAACAACTTACATTAGAATTATATAAAAAATCAATACATACCTCAGCTCTACGAATCTTTTCCCAAAACTGATGTTTACTGCATGATTTTTTTGGTGCTCTACAAAATTCTCCAGTTGAAGAAAACACATTTTTGACCAATGGACATCCACAAACTTCGTGATCTCCTATTTTCGGATCCTTACAATGTTCTGGACACAATACTTTCAATCTCTTACAATATGTTCTATGTTCTACATTGTAAAAATCGCAGAATATGCTACTTCCTTAAAAAAATATCCTACTTTTAATTACAATGAAATAAATTTTTATATACTGACAAATACATTAAAAAAACAAAGTCTGTTATTGTCTATGGATATTCCCAGATTGCAACTATATGAAATTCCCAAGTTTTCCATACATAGAAAGTTGAAGGTAAAAAAGGTAGAGGCAGATCATCCACAAAATACACATACCTGGTTCCAAAGGTTTTGTTGTCAGCATGCGCGAGAATGGTAGATATGATAATTATCAAGAAAAATTAATTTTCATTACTTATTAAAGCGAATGAAGAAAATAATGACTAAGAAAATGATTTCAAGTAGTGACCTTGATTAACAACTTAAAGTAAGCATATTACACTCCTATTTGCTTCCCATACTATTTAAATGGAGGCCTGGATCTTAAACAAGGAAATTAGTGAACAAGCAGAATCATATGAGATATGGAACTACAAATGAATATTAAAAAAAAATAAGTTGGGTGCAGGGAGTAACAAATGTTAAGGTGTTCTGCATGATGACAGGAGATTGTAAATAAACATAATATGTGTGTGTTTGGTGAGTTGGCTTGGAAACCAGTCCTTTAGCCAGAATTGTAATATAAGATATTAGTTTTTAAATAATGTAACTAACTTTAAAAAGAAAGTTACATATTAGTTTGTATACCTCTCTATTAATATAAGGAGAGTAAATGGCTGATGTTTATGAGAATCTAAATTTTAAGTTCTGATAGTTTTGAATACAGCTGATCTGTTTCATACTTATGTTTACCGCACTTAAAAAGAATATGGTTGATGTCAAATTGTGATATATTATCGCATGAACATACCCCAGAAGGGATAATATTTAACTTAGCCAAGTGAGCTGGGAATGCACCGTGATTAGTTTTCAGGTGTGTAACTGTGGTTGTCAACTTCTTTGACATTGCATATTTGAAAATACAGGCAACATCTTGTGGTAAGGTAGGGTGGATAGTATAATACTGGTTATTTGAATTCATTGTTGTTTTTCCATTTTTCTTTCCAATTTATTAAAATTTTGTTATAATAATGTTGCTGAAGTTCCTCCAACATGAAAATAGGGATATATAGTCCACCATGGGTCGCATCTTTAGCAACCTGGTCAACCAGTTCATTTCCCTCGATACTAGTGTGACTTTTTACCCAAATAACTGTAATATCTGTACTATGTTTTATTTTTAATAGCACAAAGAATACTATTTCTTTTATGTTAAGTCATATCTGAGTTTAATCCTTTAATGAGCGATAATGAATCTATAATATCACTGCTTTATTTAAATTGTATAAATCTAGCCAATCTAATGATTTTTTGATTGCTAACGCTTCAGCAGTATATATTGAACACTGTGATGAAAGTTTAATTTTCAATGATTCGCTTTTATGTGGAATGTAAACTGCACAACCTGTGGCACCATCCTCTTTTTTGGAATCATCGGTATACATTACTACGTGATCATTATAGTAACTCAATATGGATTTAAGTAAGACAAAGTTTATTTGTGGGGATTCTGTGTATTTTGGTATAATGACTTTTGGTTTATTTAATGTTAACTAAACATAATGTACAAGCGATGGAACAGCAAAAGTTATGAGTTAAGATATAGTCCCCAAATTTCAAGTCATGAAATAACAGCATAAAATAACAAGAAATGTTTGTTGTGGATTATCAGAATGACAAGTAGTGTATACTTAAAATTTAAAGGGCAGATCAAGAAAACTCTTAAAGAAAAGTATTAGAATATATCATGTCATATTAGATTAATTTCAATTTAGTAAAATAAAATCAAATATGCCTTAATTTACCTTCAATTTTTGTTTTAACCACAGACCCAAAAGAAGATTGGGATTCATATTTGTTAAAGCATTTCTCCATATGCTTTGTAGCTGTTTTCGAGTGGATCTCCAGACCACAAGTTACACAATACATTGATGTCTCAGTATCTTCATCTTCATTATGTTCTAGTCTGGGATCAATAGTTGCATTCTTGGCTCTTTCTACAACAACATCAAGTTCTCTATGGCGTTTATCTAATTCTTGCAGAATTTGTTGGACTTCAACTTGCTGCTTCCTAATTTGATCAAGAGCTGAAATCAAAGTATTAAAAAGTAAGTACCCACTTAGTCATTTTAGCCATAACTGTACCTTTTTTATTAGTTTCCTCTGCAGCTGGGGGAGTTAAACTCCATTCATGTAACCGTTGTGGAAGAATTTGAAGAATTCTAGTTCTTGCTAGGTTCATGCCACATTGATCAGAACAATATTTAGAGCCATACCTTGCACTGTTTGTACACTTAGGTCCATAACAGTGCCTTGGATAGTCTGTTTTTAGATGGTCATTGTGAGATTGCTCCCTATCTGAACTAGAGTCTCTCCTTTTTCTCCTAGCACTAAAAATAAAAAAAAAAAACTGGTACAGTAGACTAGTGCGAAGCTTATTGCTATGTTTTCTGTATGTTTAAAATTGAATACAGTAATTTCATTATTTATTTATTATGTATATTTTAAACAAATCATATTATATTAAAGTAATTCAATAAATTATTATGTTTGCTCCTAACACCACCTGCTAACATTAACAAAGCACATATTGTTTACTTTTCATTTCATGTCTGTATTTTGTTAGCTTTTATACAGTTTTTAATTTAAACCTGCTTATAATAAATATGCGATGATTAAAAATGAATTAATGGAGAGTAGTAAAACGATGTCAATATTCTATGACTCTACCCGTGACTATGCCTTCTCGTGACGCTCGCCCATCGAGCAATAAGACAAAAGAGGGAATGTAAAGGTAGTGGGGGCAAACATATTGAGAGACAGGAAGTGCTATTTTGAGAGGCCACTTTAAACAAGGAAAGAGAATCTCTTTCCTTGTTTAAGAAATCAAATTTAGTTGGGTTATGTTATTGTTGATGTTATTGTTTGTCAAAACTGTCACATGAAAGCTTATTTATATTTTCTATTGAAGTTTTTTAACAATTGTTTAACATTTTAGACTATTATCGTGTGTTCTAGTGTCAAAAAAAGTATTTTAATAAATAATTTAAATAAATAAATACATAAATATATAATATAAAATATTATGTAATATAAAATAAATAAATAGATAAATTAGAACCCCTACACCACTGTATGATTATTGTCAAGTGTCATGAAATTTAAATTTGGCGCATTTGCATTTCCGGATATGTCCGCCATCAGAGGCCACTTTTTTGGTCTCCTTTTCATAACGATTAGATTCCCTCTTTTGTCTTATTGCTCGATGCGCTCGCCCCAGCATTTTACTGTAAAAAAAAAGTAATACAACGCCAGTATAGGTATTTAGCTCCAAAATATTGGGTAAAATAAAATACAAGCAGATTAGTTGGAAATAAACAAACAAAATTAGCAGTAATAAAAATAGATTAAGAGAGTTTGAAAAAATTAGAAAATTTAAAATTATTTGTAGTTAGTTAAGAGAACAAATGGAAAAACAAAATACTATTATATTCTGTATTTGGATTTTCAAGTAATGAGCATCTCTGCATCCTTCTTCTTCTCATTTATCCACCTGAACTTTGGTTTACAATTTTTTCTAATATCCACTGATTGTGTGTTTGTTATTCTTTTTATTTTTATTATATTCACATTGGACCATAGAATAGAAAATCAAAAATGCAAATATTTCTATCATCCAAAGTAGATGGCTCTCTATGTGGTTACTTCCTTAAATACAAAGCTTCAAGAACCCTATTTTTGTTTTGCTAAGACTTTTGTCTTAGGCTCTACCACTTTCCACTGGGGTTTAGCTACATCAAAACATGTAGTATGAACAATGATAGAATTTTAGCTGTTTGTGTAACTCTCAATTCTGGCTAAACGTACCATACCCTGGTTAATGTATCATCTTGCAGGATAAACTGAGGATGGATAAATATGGTAAGAAAACTGAGTAGTGGCAGCTAGTGGTATCAAAACTAACAAAGGAAGAGCTCAACAAAAATAAATATTGTTCAACTTCAATGGTTATGCTTAGATAACAGTGATATACACAAAAATGTGTGTGTACAGAGATGAAGAATGCAAGAAAAAATCACCCCATTACATTAACCTAGTAAGAGTCATGACTGAAGACAATAATAAGCAACAATTTTCTACTCACGGTTCTCGGAGATTAAGATTCTACAAGGGGAGAGGGAACAGGGACAATGTAGGGCATGAATCTACATATTAAACATACCCAAATACATTAAGATATACAAACTTTGGAGACTGCAATTTAAGAAATGGAAGAATCTACTATTTGGAAAACAGAGACAGTCAACACATATCTGGAGTTCGATTACAGTGAGCAATACCAAAAATAGTAACACAATCTAAAAAGTTGGAATTTTTTGTAAAACTCCTGCGAATATTTAGAAATTTTTGCAAAAATGTTAAATTTTTATGATTTATTAGCAATGATTAAAAATGTTATAGTAGTATTTTGTAAAAATACTAGCAACATAACGTTAAAATAATACCCCCTCTTAGGGGGAAAAACGGAAAAAATCGATTTACCAAGAAACTGTATGCTGTAGAAAAAAATGTGGTACTATAACTACTACTACTACTACTTATAGTGTAGTAAGATGGAACGATGTCTGTGGGGATGAAATTTATATCAATGAATTCTGCTTCACTTACTGATGATTGTACAATGATTTTTATTCTCTGGAAAATTTCTTTTTTATGTAATTTCCATTTAAAATATGTCTTATTTTTAAAAGCTACCGCCATTATTTACCATGAAACAACAAGAAATGACAGGAATCACAAGTGTTTCTTATGGTCAAGAAGGGTAATTCTAACCAGTGTTGCCATAATTATTCAAAATATGTTTTTTATGAAAAATAACAATTTAGATTTTTAATTATATAACATTTTATTCTAGAAGTCTAGTTTTTCCAGTTTTTACTTATGCATCGGAATGCTGGACCCTTACTGAGAAAGACAAAAAGAACATAGATGTATTTGAGATGTACTGCTGGAGACGAATGCTGAGAATACCATGGGTGGCCCGAAGAACAAATGAATCCATACTGGTCCAGCTAAACATAAAGAAAAGACTAAGAACACAAATAACAGAACAGATAATAAGCTATTTTGGACATGTGCTTCGAAGAAATGGTCTTGAAAAACTTACCATCCAGGGAAAAGTAGAAGGCAAAAGAAGTAGAGGTAGATCTCCTACACGATACACGGACCATATTGTTGCTACCATTGGCGCTCCATTGTCAGAATGTGCTAGATTGGCAGAAGATAGAAAAACGTGGAGGAACATTGGAAAAATTACCTAACAGCTTCATGATATCACGATACCTGCATCAGGTTAACGACTAAGAAGAAGAAGAAGAACATTTTATTCTTACATTGATACCTACTTATAACTGAAAATTAGTGCATTTCTAAAAGGGTTGTGTTAGATTTGGTTAAGTTGGGTTAGGTTTAGTATCATTGGTTTACATTTTTAATAATAAAATATAAAGAAAAATATGAATCTTATCAAATAAACATTGTGAGCTTCTCAGTCTGATTTTAAGTTACGTTGGGTCAGTGTGGCCAGATTGGGCGATTTATCGCCAATTGGGCTACTTTTAATATGTCTTTGCGACAAAAATTTTAAGAAAATCGCAAGTCGCAAATTGGGCGATTTTATACTTTTTAGCACAAGTCACTTTTTCATAAATAGTTAAAGATTTCACATTTCCATCCAATATGAAAATATAAAAAGTCCCTCAATGAGCAAATATATTTTTAATCTTATTGTCTTTATTTCTTTATAAACAAAGTTATTTTATTAAAATTAAAAAATTTTCCTATAATTTATATCTGAAGGTACTAGTGGCGATATCTGTCGAAAATTGGCGACATGTTGAGATTGGATTGGCGACACGAGGAAAATAAATCTGGCCACACTGGGTTGGGTTATATTGTTTTAACATAAATTTAATGCTTTTTTACCAGGGTTAGGTTTTGTTACGTTAGTTTAGGTTTAGTATCATTGGTTTACAATTTTAATAATAAAATGTAAAAAAAATATGAATCTTTTCAAATAAAAATTGTGAGCCTACCAGCTTGATTTTAAGTTATGTTGGGTTATATTTTTTTACATGTTTTAATTATAAAATATGGAGGAAAATATCAAATTATAAGTAAATAAATATTGTGTGATTCCCAGGGTGAATTATGTACATATTATATTTAAATTATTTAAATAAATCAATATTGTGGGATTCTCAGACAGACTTTTAACTGTTGGTACAGAATCTAGAAAATTTCATGGAACAAATCTAATATGTTCTGTGAATGTATATTTGTGTAATGCACAATATCAAAATGAATGTGCCCGAAATGACATGAAATTTCCTTACAGCTGCATTGCTGTGTAGACGATAAAAGAGAATTCCATATGAAAATAAGATATATTTTGTATTAAAGTGTACTATAGATTTGCAACTTTTTTGCGAACATCTAAATTTGGCAATTGTGTTTGAGATATTGGTGGGGTTTGAGATATTTTCAACAACTCGTTTCTTGTTTGTTCTTCATCAAAGAAATCTGTAACAGACTGGAGTGGGCGTATATTAAGATTTATTGAAGGTTTTGCGTTGTTCTTAAATAAAGTTAGTTCCCAAGAATTTCTAATTAAACATAGTGTAATGTCTGACAGACTAGTGTGTTGATGCAGCAACAAGTTAGGAATTAATGCCGAAAGCAATTTAGGTGTAATAAATTTGTCCCAAGTCAGAAAAATACACCCAAAATGTGTGGATTTACTCTATCAGCAAAGAGAGGGACCTTTTTGGAAGCTTTGGAAGTAAACTGCTGGTAGGAAAAATATTTATATTGGTGGCAACTTTATTACATAAGTTAAAGCCACCTAGACAAGAATTAGTAAATTACGAGTTCAGGATTTCTTCTAAGACAATGGTTGGCTGGTACTTGTGACGCACCTGGTTATTAAGATTACATCCACCTGTTTATTAAGGTAAGTAATTTTCATGACATTTTTAGATAATTTAAAGGTTAAAACTGACAACAATGTCAAATGTACATGTAAAATTTATTTTCTTGCGCATGTCTGCCATATTGTTTTGAAGTATCAAAAATCTTGATTATTTTAAAACAATATTACTCATTTTTTCATAATTTAATAGTAAAAATCAGTGATATTTAATATGTTTTAGTTACGTTTTTTTATTAAGACATGTATATACTTTTCTTTGCTTTTTATTAATTTTTTTTATATTACCAAATAATAAATATATCTTACCCTCCCAATGCATTTACACAAATCCTTTGTTTACACCTTTCTCTATTTTTAGATGATCCATGCCTATTCTTTCTGGTGCATACATCACATCTACCACAATCTTCTGTTCTGTAGCAGCCCATGCACTCGCCACATTTTTTAATTTTTTTATCATTCTTATTCTCACCCCTTTCTTTTCTTTTTCTTGATTTTCGTTCTTCTTGTCCAACTAAGGAGAAAGTTTCATCATGTTCTTTTTTGGTTTTCCATCTAGTTGTTAAAGATGGATCTTCCTCCTTGCAGCGAACACAAATATACTGTTTTATAAGTTTTGCATCCTTCTCTGATATTTTAACACAATCTCCATGATACCTACAATAAGAAACAATAGCACATTTCTAAAGTTTAAAAAAAATCACCCTACCATTCTTCACAAGCATCACAACCTATCATAAATCGAGATGAATCAGATGATCTACAAATACAATAGGCTTGACCATCTTGTTTTAATAGGGTATCAATTTTGGACTGCCTTTCTGGCAAAAGAAATTGCTTGGCTATTTCTTCCCTCTAAAAAGTGTTTAAAATTTCAAACATGTAGATCTAATAGAATGTATTTCTAAAAGGATAACATAAATACAGTTTCAAGCACTAAACAGGGTTATTATAGCTTGAATTATTATAAATTACTTACAGATATATCCCTCTTTCTGGACATTTTGGAATATACAGTAGTATATAGCAGAATATAAGTATTACACAAATCAAACTAAACGAATGAAAATAATAATTAACTTTCTATAATATAAAAAATATGTTTTTTAACATTATTTTGACATTTGACTTTGACATTGGCGATGATAGATAACATACATAACCAAAGAATATAGACGCTTAAGCACTTTATTATTCTGTGTTCTGTGCCAATACCCAACCCAATACCAAATTTATCAATTTATTTATTTATAAATACCCAATACCATTCTTGTGCGGATTATTTATTTAATAATGGTTTTTTTTAACAGAAAAAAGTGGGTTTTTTTAACAGAAAAAAGAAAACCTGCGAATAATTTTTGACAATAATTATGACTTTCCGAGGTGTATTGTGAGTTGACTACGTAGTTGCTTTTAATTTGATAAAGTTTACTTACTATGGTTGCCTACGGTGTAGGGTCGAATTGTTGTGTTCCACAACACCATCTATGAAATCAACTTAGTATTTCATAATTCTTTCTGATATCATCTATATTCTTCGGTCTTCGGTCATACACAGGCATATGTGGGCATAGTACGGTGGAAAATACATGTATGTTATATGCCGACTATAAAAACGACACTAAATTCATCAAAATTTTACGGAAACATCTTAAATTACCTAACGGAACAACATTACTTCTAAGTGAGAAAGCTGAGCTATCTTTGCCCACTGTCGTCGGCGAACGTTTTTTCGTATCTTTATATGGTGGATATAAAGATGATTCTCTAACAGCATGCGATACATATGATTTGCCAAGACAGTGACCAAAATTACATTTAACTTATCATCGCTTCTGCCAACACAAAACACAGCTCATTTTCATAGTGTTAGAGTTTATAACCAGGAAACACTGCTAGCCTGAAGGTTTGGGGCTGGAAAAAGCATATAAAAATTTGGATACAAATTAAAACTCCAGCGCCCACTGAACTTCTGAAATTAATTTTCTACAGATGCAAGGGAAACTGTGAAAGTATGTGAGGTTGCCGACAAGTAGGCCTCAACAACATTCCTTTGGCCTTGGTGAATTTTGGCCTTTCGCCAACATTCACCTTCGATACTGAATTGGAGCGTAAACTGCAACCTGGATCATCCAAGAAAATGAAAAAACAATAACTGAGAAACAACTTTTTAAATATATAATTATGCGCAACATTATCTCGCCTGGAAATTGTCAGTAAATGAGGCCTTAATAAAAATTAGGCCTCATTTACTGGTCGATCTAATAATACCAAATAAATGTTAACAAAATAACACATTATATAAGTAAAAAAATACATAATAAAAAACTAATCCTATTGGTTCGTTTTTATCGTATTCTTCAGAGAAATTAAACACATTTGTAGTGAAACTTATTCCTTGAAAACCCTCTGTAATATTGTTCTGATGTCTTATTATTGTAAAATGATCAGAAAAAAAGTTATAAGGCTTAAAAAAATGCTCAAACATTTTTAGTTATTTTTGTTAACAATTTTTTTATTTTGAACCCTTTCAACTTTAGGGTAAATGCGTATAAGAGTGCGCACTTAATATTAAAAGTGCGACAGTTTTTAATTTTTACGAAAATGGACTACTTATTTATCATTCCTTACATTGTTAATCAACCATTTAAAAAGATGTTTTAGAATAATTTTAAACCATGTTTGTATTCAAATAAGAAATATTTAATTTTGCTTGCGAAGCTGCTAATGCGTACTCTTATACTTACACAAATTTGCATAAGAGTACGCATCTATATGTTTAAGAGTACGCACATTACTGAAGTGTACAAAAATATTAAGACATTCCAAAAATAAAACTTTATTTCTGAAATAAACGCAACACAAATACATAAAGAAAGAAATATGAAAAGTATGTTTTAGAACTCATTTTTATTTCATCTTTAAATCTATTGCTACTCCTCACAGTTACAACACATCAAGTCTCCTGCTACATAAGTCGTACAATTTGAATATAATTCATTATATCATGGGCACGTTACATCAGTATCATTTTCTTTATTCCTTTTTTGAACTTTGCGCAATGATTTACTACAACTAGGCACTAATTTTCTTTTTATTCGTTCCGTCTTCTTTTTTTGTTCTACTTCTTTGGGTTTTTCCAAATTCTCAAGTTCTTTTGTATATGGGCTACTGGAAAGTATTACGGACTTTTGAGATTTTGTTTTGCGTCGATTAGGCTTTTCTTTAATTTTGGATAATGGTAAAATCTCTGCCGCTGACACTGACATGTTTAAGATATTAGTGCTAGCTTGTGATGGTATTAAACACCACCTTCGCATCGAGAGGCGGTGTAACGTGAAAAGAGATTAGATCATCTTCATTCTCAGGCTGCTTTACTTCAGGTGGTATTGGAAGCTGAAGTCCATTATTTTCTTCTTCTACACGGACTCCATTTGACGTATTATCTACTACCGCGCTTACTGGATTGTTCAAAGGTATGTCGGTAACATAGGAGGGGGCAAAATAAAATCCATGTCATAAAACTGCTCAAGGTTAAACGGATATATTCCCGATGCTTTAAAAGAATTTTTGAACTTTCAATTTCCATTTCGGTTCTCAAAATACAAACCCTCATGTTTGTATTTTGAGAACGATTTCCGAAGTGGAAATTGAAACGTCAATAAACTTACTTTAACCTGTAATTGTGGCTTATTCCCATTTAAATAGTAATTATATTGATAAAAGTTTCATCTGCGTTTTCTCTTTACTGTTCTAATGATTCTTTTGTTTTGTCTGCAGATCCAACAGCTAAACGGAGGTCTAGATTTTATGTTTGAAGATACTTACTAAGCTGTAAGTGAGTAAGTTCAAATACCGAGATGACCACAAAGAGACTAAAAAGAAAGTCACATTTACAAATTGCAGCCGACAGCAACTGAGCATCAGTTACAGTTTTGTTATCACTGTTTGTAATAACATCCAGTACCTACTGTAATAATGACAGGAAGTAAGGAAATAAATGCATGAATTAAGTCATGTCGTTGAATCCATCTTGTTGCATACAATCTTTTTAATTTTTCTACTTTCGGCTTCTGCTCTAACTGATCAATTTGGTATTAGTTATAGTTAAGTACTAAGTTGTAGAAAATTTAACATGTTCTACCAGAGTATTTCCAAACTTTTGTTTTTTTCTATTAATCTAGATATTTCCATCGTGTTACAGATACCATCTCAAATCCGTTCTAATTACATTTTAAATTGTCTTGCCCGAGATTCTTAGTTCATACCCATTCCTTTATCCTTATCTTTAATCATTTGTTCTTTCCAATGCTCCATTATTAATACGTATTTACTTTTTTCACTTACTCTGTTAATTATGTTTTGTAATGCGTTATTATCTTTCCTAACTTCTCTTAATTTTTTATGACATGTAATTGATCGTTTATTAATTAGTTTACGAAATATAGCGCAGAAATCTTTTCTCCCCTTTTTCCAAGATGGCGGCCGGGGGTCAAGAGTGGCGACCCCACATGATGTATATGTTCCAACCCGCATATTTTTTTATTTCATAGATTAATTATAATACTCTATTATTATACTTCGAATTCAGCCATATGGCTCATACTCTCTCTAAGGGGAAAATTCACTCATCCCAGATACCTATGGTATCAAACGGATTGAGCTCTGGTGGGACTCTTTCCGTGTTATCGAGCCCTAGGTGACTAGGTACGCTGGAGTATCTCCCAAAAGTTTTCGTACACATCTGGACGTTCTGTACTCCAATGCATTGTGCAAGGTAAAATTGAAGGAAAAAGGGCCCCAGGAGGAAGAAGAATATCCTGGCTTGCCAACCTGAGAGCATGGTATAGAAAGACCTCAATACAGCTATTCCGTAAAGCAACCAACAAAGTCATCATAGCCAGAATGATCGCCAACGTTCGGAACGGACAGGCACCCTAACAAGAAGATCTGGACGTTGAGAAACATCTTGTAGAGATGTTCATTCAGACCTAGCTTTTTTATGTTTTCTATGAGAATCTTCGGAATCGGACTCCAGTAGTGGAGAGAATAATAGGTATTGTCTGGGTACTTTCCATTCTCCACTGTCTTCGTATTTGAATTTCCAGATCTCCTGTACTTGGCGATCTTTTCGTTCTGTTTAACACGAAGATTATTGTTGTTGGGTATCGCTACAACAATTAGTCTTGTTTGTCTCTTTAGTTTATTAACTAGTATGAGATCTATTCTATTATGTGCCACTGTTTGGTCTGTGAGCACAGTGCGGTCCCAGTATAGCTTATAGTTGCCATTCTCAAGTATACTTTCAGGAACGTATTGATAATATGAGAGATGGTTTGTTTGAAGAAGTCCCAGTTTGGTGGCTATCTCTTGATGAATCTTTCCTACTGAGTCGTGCCGTTCCTTATATTCAGTTGCAGCAAATGCTTGGCAGCCCTTGGTAAGATGGATGGTTTCCTGAGCTTGACATATCGGCATTTGTTATTTTGGACCTGAGGGTCTTTGATGATATATTTCAGGTAATTTTTGGTTGGTATAACCATAACCTGATCCTGAATGGCCAGTAGTGAACCTTCTGTTTCAGGGAACATCTTTCCTGATGTCAGCCAATAGTTCGACAGGTTATTGTCTACATATTCTTGGCTGATCTCTTTGATATGTCGCCCATGCAGAGGTTTACTCATCCAGGTGCGCATTTTTTCTTGCCGAGTCAGGTGGTTTATGCACATTCCTTGTTCCCTCAGTTTAAGCGGCGTTGTATCATCTACTGCGCAAATTGCTCGATGTAAAGTAGATGTCTCAGCCTGTACCCAAAAATAAGTTTTTAAATTAGCAATTTGTTTATCCAATTGCTCACCTATATCCATAAGTCGTCTTTTCCCTTGATACCGCGGTAATGTTGTTCCCTCTACTGCACTACGTGGATGATGTTTTTGGGCCTTTGTGAGAAGTGTCCTTATTTTCCGCTTAAGACCCTCTATATCCGTTTTTGGCCACTTTATAATACCAAATGAGTAGCTCAGCGCGGAACAGACGTACGTATTTAATGCCTTAAACAAATTTTTACTATTAAGATATGACCGATTTAGTTG